TTGAGAGTGAGAGAGGAAAAAGGAGAGAGAGAGAGAAACATTGACTTCTTGTTCCACTTATTTATGCATTCATTGGTGGCTTCTTATATGTGCCCTGATGGGGGACCAGTCCTGTAACCTTGGTGTATCTAGACAATGCTCTAACCAACTGAGCTACAAGACAGGGCTACCCTTCTGCTTTTTCTCTGGATGTTTTGTCTATCATGTGGTAATAGTTTTGGCATGGACAGACACTTAAGCACCTCCTCTGTTATGACTCCTGATAAGTCAGGTGTGCTTTAGCTAAAGACCTGAAGGTGTCTTCTCTGTATCAGTTACAGTAACTGTGTGGTGTTTCAGGACAGGAGGCAGCTGTCTGAAGTGGTCTGTAGTTTGGTCTTTTCCTCAGTTTGGTCATGATTCAATTTCTTTCTTTCTTTCTTTCTTTCTTTCTTTCTTTCTTTCTTTCTTTCTTTCTTTCTTTCATACTCTTTGTGTGTATTATCCCATGTATGTATATTTCAGAACTAGGCAAAACCAACCTGTAGGGATAGAGGTTACAATCATAGTTACCTCTGCAGGGATGTAGTATCTACCTGCAACACAGCAAGGAGGTCTTCTGGAGTGCTTGGTGAGGTTTGACTTCTTTTTTTTTTTTTTAAAGATTTTATTTATTTATCTTTAGAGGGGAAGGGAAGGAGAGAGGGAGAGAAACATCAATGTATGGTTGCCTTTCATGCATCCCCTGCTGGGAACTGGTCTGCAACCCAGGCATGTGCCCCGACTGGGAGTCGAACTGCAATTGTCTGGTTCGCAGGCCCGTGCTCAATCCACTGAGCTACACCAGCCAGGGTGAGGTTTGACTTCTTAATCAGGGTGCTGCCTTCAAGGATGCCTCACCTTGTAAAAATTCATTGAACTGCTCTGTATGATTTGCACATTTTTATGTACATACATTATTCTGGATACAAAGTTTCCTTTGGTTAAAAACTTACATCCATAATACCATAGGGTAATATTGTTTTGCAACTTGAATGGAAAAAACAGCATTATGCTTTTCATATGTATCTACCTTAGTCCATTTGCTCTAGTTCAGTTCAATTCCTTTTAAGGTAAGTTTTTCCTAACTCTGTCATTTCCAGTCAAGTATCTGAACAACTCTCATGATGGAAGGTGGGGTAGATGACATAGATATGCTCATATTTCAGTAAATTGAAGACACAATTTGAATGAAAAAGAGCGTTTCAATAGAGGGCACTAGGAGAATTGATCTAAATGGGAAAATGAGATACTGCCTGACACTGTAGATAAGAATTGATTTTGGCCTTGCCTGGGTGACCTGGTTGGTTGTTGGTTGGAGTGTTGTATACCACAAGGTTGCAGGTTCAATCCCTGGCAGGGGCATGTACGGAAGGCAACTGATGGATGTTTCTCATAATGATGTGTCTCTATCTCTCTCTGTCTCAAATCAATAAACATATCCTCAGGTGAGGATTAGAAAAAAGAATTCACTTCAGAAAAATCAAAGATAAAAACAATATTAAAAAGAAAAAGGTTTTATTTATTTCCAGAGAAAGGGGAAGAGAGGGAGAGAAACATTGATGTGTGAACGCCCCCTACTGGGGGCCTGACCTGGCCTGTAACCCAGGCACTTGCCTTGACTGGGAATCAAATCTGCAACCCTTTGGTTTGCAGGCCAGCACTCAATCCACTGAGCCACACCAGCCAGGGCTAAAAACACCTTCTAAACACTTTTTAAATCTAAAATTTAGAAGAACATTATGGGAAAGTATATTTCTCATGCAAAACGAGTTGAGACACAAAGAAGCCCCTCAAATACAAATTAAAAGATGAGTTACTCTGAGTAGCTAACATTAAAAGGCACAAAAACAAAGGAAGAACAAGGTATTTGCAACATAACGTTACCCAGGAAAAGTGTGTAAATACACCCTTCAACTTAATGAGGAAGAGACTCACGATTCAACAAAAAAAGGAACAATAGCTAGAAACCTTCAACTCACAGAAGAGGAACCTCGAATGGTCAATAAACCCCATTTGCATCAGGAAAATGCAGAAATAAAGCACCAAGGAGATGTCTATATACAGGCAGCTTAAAATGACTTCCCTTCTTCTTTTCTAAAAGATTTTATTTATCCACTTCTAGAATGAGGGGAAGGGAGAGAGAAAGAGAAGGAAGAGAAACATCGATGTGCAAGAGAAGCATCAACTGGCTGCCTCTCACATGCCCCCAACCAGGGACCTGGCCTGCAGCCCAGGCATGTGCCCTGACAGGGAATCAAACCAGCTACCCTTTGGTTCACAGGCTGGCACTCAACCCACTGAGCCACACCAGCAAGGGCTGACTTCTCTTTTTTTATCAGCAAAAATGAAGAAGTTTAATATATTTATGCATTGACAAGGTTGTGGGGGAATTGGAAACCACCTATTTCTCAATTTCCCTTTCCTAGTAGGATGAAAGGCATGGACAGAAGACGGATTTTACTTCTAAATACCCACCCTAGAGAGGTCACACACTTGTGAACAAGAAGCCAGGGACAGGGTGTTTATTGCAGCAATTTGCTGATGGCAAAGTACTAGAAACACCCAAAATATCTCACACTTGAAGAAAGAATGAAGAGAAAACTATGGTGTGAGTCCTTTTCAAACATTCATTTTATTGACACATAATTAACATATTATAAAACCCACATTCCTAAAGTGCACAATTCAGTGTTTTTTAGTATACTCACAAGGTTCTGCAACCAACACCACTCTCTAATTCCACATTTCCTCATTCTCCTAAAGGAAACCCTGTACCTTTTTGCAGTCTTTCCTCATTCCCCTCTCCCAAGCACCTGTGAGCCACTAACCTACATTCTGTTTCTAAATATTTATTCATAAATGAGATGCTACAATATGCAGGTTTTTGTGTTTGACTTCTCACACTCATAATAATAATGTTTTCAAGGTCTGTATATATTGTGGCTCATAAGAGTGCCTTATGACTTCTTTATGGGTGTGCACTATTCCATGGTAGAGTTGACAACTGAATTCTACACAGTAAACACTGAGCCACAAAAAGCATCTGGGGTAAATTTCAAAAGCATGATGGGGAAGGCAATAAAAAAAGGCCCCATAATTGTAATAATGCAGTATGAATCCATATATATGTATGTATGTATTCTCCTCATAGATTTCATTCTTAATTTTTGTTTTTTAGTTACAGTTATCATTTAATATTATTTTTGTGTTATTTTCAGGTGTACACCATAGTGATTAGGCTTATGAAGTGATTCCTCCTGATAATTATAATACCCACCTGGCACCACATGTAGTTACTAGAATATTATTGTCTATATTCCCTGTGCTGTAATTTACATCCACATGACTATTTCATAACCACAATCTGTACTTCTCAATTTCTTCATCTTTTCCACCAAGATCCCCAACCCCTTTTCCCTCTGGCAACCATCAATCTGTTTTCTGTATCTATAAGTCTGTTTCTGTTGTGTTTGTTCCTTTATTTTGTTCTTTATTTTTAAAAGATTTTTTAAAATTTATTTTTAGAGAGACGGGAAGTGAGGGAGAAAGAGAGGGAGAGAAACATCAGTGTGTGGTTGCCTCTTGTGTGCCCCCTACTGGGGACCCAGGCAGGTGCTCTTGACTGGGAATCCAACTCGCAACCCTTTGGTTCACAGGCTAGCACTCAATCTACTGAGCCACACCAGCCTGGGCTTATTTTGTTCTTTAGATTTCACATACAAGTGAAACCATATGGTATTTGTCTTTCTGTGACTTATTTCACTGAGCATAATATCCTCTAAGTCCATCCATGCTCTCACAAATGGTAAGATTTCATTCTTGTTATGGCTGAAAAGTATTTCCTTGTATATTTGTCCCACATCTTTTATATCCACTTGTCTATTGATGGACACTTGGGTTGCTTCCATATTTTGGCTATAGTAGATAATGCTTCACTAACATAGGGGTGCATATATTCTTTCAAATAAGTGTTTCATATGTATGTATGTTAATAACATAAAACGGTGTCATATGTGGACTATTAATAGATGTCTCGGTTGTGAAAGTATTATAAGTGCCTAGGAAATATATGTGCAACCTTGGAAAATGTTTACTGCAGGTGAAGAGAGGGAGGAAAGAGATTGGGAAGCAAAACACTAGTGTCAAGAAAATAAGGACAGTGTGGATATTTCCATTTATGTTATTCTGTGACTTTCTCTTTTAAAGAGAAATGTTATTGAGCATATGTTTATGCCTTAAGACTATTTATATGTAGCCCTGGCCAGGTAGCTCAGTTAGTTAGAGCATCGTCCTGATATGCCAAGGTTTCAGGTGTGATCCCCGGTCAGGGCACATATGAGAATCAACTAATTAATGCATAAATATATAGAACAATAGATCAATGTTTCTCTCTCTCTTTCTCTCACTCTCCTTTCCTCTCTAAAATCAATAATTAAAAACATTGAGGAAATAATACAGAAATACGATGGCAGTCACGTCAGAGAGGAAACTGGTCTGGACTTGAGACTATGTGGCTGCCCAGCACAGCAGGAGAGAATCGTGGCCCCAATACATGTAGCTGCTGGCCGGGCTGCTTGCTACAGAAGGATGCTGTTGTTAGCTCATTGTTGAGTGTCCTCATCACTTCATGGCTCATGTTTTGTGCTCCTTTTCCGAAGCCCTATGTCTGGGGAATGCCTCACCTGACCGCGGCCACACAGGCCTCTGTGGGGGGACCATTTTCCATGTGTGGGGTGCTGTCCACAACTCCCCAAGTGAATATTATGAGTACCACCAGTCCATGTATGTAGGACATAATCTTAGCCTATGTTTTAAGTCAAACCATACTGAAGCCAGACTCCAGAATTTAGAAAAACCCATCTAGTAGTTTTTTCGAGGAGTGGAAGCAAGAAGAAAAACATTAATTAAAAAAAATGATTTTATTTATTATTTATTTTTAGAGAGAGAGGAAGGGAGGGAGAAAAAGAGGGAGAGAAACATCAGTATGTGGTTGTCTTTCCTGAACCCCCTACTGGGGAACCAGGCCTGCAACCCAGGCATGTGTCCTGACTGGGGATCAAACCGGCGACCCTTTGATTTGCAGGTCAGCTCACAGTCCACTGAGCCACACTAGCCAGGGCAGAAAAACTTCAATTTTATTAGCATAGACGATGAGCTGAGACACAACGTGGTGTGGATTTCAGCCACCTCGGCCCCCTGCATCCAAACTCTCCTCCCCAGGGGAGAAGTCCTTCCACCAGCGTCTCATTCACAAGATCCCAGGGGCTCATCCTCAGATGGTGCCTCATTGTTTACAGCAGCAGGGGTGTCTTCCTGGGGGTCTTCAGTCTTTGGGGAAAAGAGAGGGTTACACACCGGCATTTAGAGCTGACATGTCCAATGTGGTGGCCTTGAGCCCCATCCGGTTACTTAGATTTAAATGAATTTAAATTAAATTAAATTAAATGTAAAAATATGCCAGATGATCAGTAATTTCAAATCTGTGGCAGCCATGCACAACTGAGGGCTGTGGTATCGGACGGTCCAGATGCACAACCTCCTACACTGACTGTGCCTCATGGAGAATGAGGGCTTTCATTGTAGTGTTAACAAAAGGATTCTGACAACCAGTGGTACCTGCTGCAGATAAAAGTCATTGCAAAGGTGCTTTGGAGAAGAACTAGCATCCCACGAAAAAAACCTGCTGGTACGATGTACTATTATATTCTCGTTTTAAACAGTGTTATGGAGGTATAATTTATAAAGTAAATGATGTATAATGTCCCTAGTAAATTCTCCTGTGATAAATGTACAGTTAGATGACTTTTAGTAAGTTGGTAGATTGATGCAGCCCACACTGCAGTCAACTTTGAGAACAGGTATCACCTGCTCCCCCCAATTCCCTTGTGCCTGCCTGCAGTTAAACCTTGCTCTCCTACCTCCCACCCCACCCCTGCCCCTACTCCAGCCACGGGCAACTACTTATTTGCCTTCTGTGGAGACTTTTATATAAATGGAGCAATGCTATACATAGTCTTTCGTTTCTGGCTCATTTCACTTAGCAAAACGTTTTTGAAGTGCACCCGCTTACCACGTATATCAGTAGTTTCTTTCTTTTCATGGCTGAATAGTACTTCAGGGTGTGAAGGTACCACATCTTAATATTATTTTGTTATAACATTATCAATAGCTTATGAATTAATGACATTAATCCAGCATGTGAAATGGACCAGATCTGTTAACTTATGCTTAATTTGGGATCATGCCTTTTTTAAAAAAGATTTTTAAAATCTACTTTTAGACAGGGGGGAAGGGAGGGAGAAAGAGAGGGAGAGAAACATCAATGTGTGGTTGCCTCTCGTGCGCCCCCTACTGGAGACCTGGCCCACAACCCAGGCATGTGCCTTAACTGGGAATCAAACCAGCGACCCTTTGGTTCACAGGCCAGCACTCAGTCCACTGAGCCACAGCAGCCAGGGCACCATGCTTCTTTATAACTTTATTTACATCTGTCTATCTACATCTATAGATATAGATTTATATCTAAAGGAATGCAGTATGCATGAGTATTTTTCCAACGTGAAAGTGAACTCCTTGTACCTTCTGGTAATCCTCTATTTGCTTTAGCGTGAAGAATGAGCTAATGAACCTTTATGTCCTGTGGAAAATTGTGTAAATGTTATCTGATGTCGCTCTTAGATGGAATTCTAGCCAATGTCGAATCACCAATCAGCAGTATTTTAAATAGTAAAACAACTGGTTGATGTTAATGGATTAACATTGGTTCATGGTCCCTTTCACACCATCCACCCGGCATTTAAAATTTGCCAGAAACTCCAGGAAGCCCTTTATGTTCATGACCTTGCTAGATCCGCACAAGCCTTTTCCATGGGGAGTTTGCTTCCCACTAGATATGGGCGGAAATGCAGGGTTCAAATCACAGGGACGCCGTGATTCCTCTCAGACCACACTGGTGATAAAGAGGAGACACTGGGAGCTGAGATTCAGCTACTTTGTCATTCGAAGGACACGGCTTTTTTGTTTGTATGTTTGTTTGTTGAGATATAATTGACATATAGTTGTGTATAAGTTTAAGGTATACAACCTATTGATTTGATACATTTATATTCTGCAATTCATGGTGTTAGCTAGCACCTCCAAAGAGCATGTGATTACCTTTAATTACCTTCTGTGTGCTGCGTAAGGTGAGAACAAGTTCGATCTATCCTCTTAGCAACTTTGAAGTGTATAATACATATTGTGGGCTATCATGTGTTAGCTCTTTGGGATGTTTATTTATGAGTTACAGGTCTGTACCCTTAAACATCATCTCCCTAGTTCCTCTGCTCCTCAGCCCCTAGTAACCACCATTCCACTCTCTGTTTTTAGGAGTTCAGCCAAAGCGCTTGTTTTTAGACATGATATTAACTGGCCTCCTGACGGTGTGAGTGGGGGTATCCATGTAACCAGACCGTGGGCTGAACTGGGAAGCAGGCAGAACCAGCCTGGCTGCTGAGACAGCTCTTAAGGGAATTCCAAGGGGGGGGAAACTCACCGAGAGAGATTCTGTTTCCAGCTTGGGTAAATCTGCATGTGAGCGAGGGGGGCGGAAAACAAAACAAAACTCAATTCTCAGTCAGCAGGAGTCCAACTGCCCTCTGCTCTCTCCTGGGTTCCTCTCTTATCACTTACCTGAAGCCTCCTGCTTGGGGAATTTGGAATGGCTAGTTCTGAGAGAGAGAGAGAAACACACAGTTAAGTGTCGGGCATGAAGATTCTGGAGGGATAATAAGGGCTTGGGAGAGGGGAAGAGGAAGGTCACACCTCAGACTGAGAGAGGGGCATTGTTAAGGAACAGGGTGTGGCTGGGCCTGAAAAATGGGGTCTGGGCAAATGGGGGCCCTGAAGGGTGGAGTGAGACACCTGCCAAGTATATCTACCTACCTCTTGGTGGCTTCTTTATGTGATGAACCTATAAAAAAAAAACACAGGGGGGAATTTATCAAATGCGAGAATCCTCTTTATTTCTGTTCCGCTGTGGGATTTTCTTTCTTAAGATTTTATTTATTTGCTTTTAGAGAGAGGGGAAGGGAGGGAGAAAGGAAGAGAAACATGAATCTGCAGGAGATACATTGATCAGTTGTCCCTCCCATGCCCCCAACCAGTGACCCAGCTTGAAACCCAGGAATATGCCCTGACTGGGAATCGAACCAGCAACTCTTCCATTTACAGACTGGTGCCCAATCCACTGAGCCACATCAGGTAGGGCTCTCCTGTGGTTTTTATGGGGGTTGCTATCTACTTACCATGCTGACTGCATCTGTAGATGAGGAAGATAGAGGGAAAGAGGAGGAAGATGAAGAGGCAGCTGAGGGTGGTGACGAAGATGACTCTGGTGTCTGGAAGGAGAGGAGCAGGTCAGAGAATCAGTTGGGCTTCTGGAACACGCTGACGGAATTTAGAACAGGTAAGAGGAGCCAGACAACCTGACTTCTAAACGTGGAGCTGCCTTATTTCTCTTGGCATAAGGTCCATCCATGCTGTCACAAGTGGTAATATTTTGTCCTTTTTCATGGCTGTGTAATATTCCATTGTGTAAATGTACCAAGCTTTTTTTATCCCCTTATCTACTGATAGGCACTTAGGTTGGTCATCATAAATAATGCTGCAGTGAACATAGGGGTTCATGTGTCTTTTTGAATTAGTGGTTTGGGTTTCTTTAGGTAAATGCCCAGAAGAGGAATTGCTGGGTCATGTGGAGAAAGATAAGTACCATATGATTTTTCTAATATCTGGAATCTAAAAAACAAAATAAATGAAGAAACGCAACAGGAACAGACTCGTAGGCACAGGGAACAAACTGGTGGTTACCAGATGGGAGGGAGCTTGGGGGGACTGGCTGAAAAGGGGGAAGGAGTTAAGAAGTACAAATTGACAGTTACAAAATAGCCACAGGGATGTAAAGTACAGCACAGGGAATAGAGTCAATAATATTGTAATAACTATGTATGGTGCCAGGTGGGTACAAGACTTATTAGGGCGACCAATTTGTAAGGTATATAAATGTCCAACCTACTATACTGTGTACATGAAAGTAGTATAATATTGAATGTCAACTGTAAGAAAAAATAAAATTAAAAAATTTTTAGAAAGATTTTATTTATTTAGTTTTAGAAAGATGGACAGGGAGGGAGAAAGAGAGGGAGAGAAACATCAATGTGCGGTTGCCTCCTGAGCGCCCCCTACTGGGGATCTGGCCCACAACCCAGGCGTGTGCCCTGACTGGGAATCGAACTGGTGACCCTGTGGTTCAGAGGCCGGTGCTCAATCCACTGAGCCACACCAGCTAGGGCAAGTTTCTTTTTTTTTTCCTTTCTTTCTTTTTTTAAAGTGGAGCTGTTACTTCAGAGCAGGGACGTCCCATTGCTTGAAGCATTTTGTTTCCTCTGCTCCATTCAAAGTGAGGGCCACGACAGTAGCTACTTTACTGGAGCACATTAAATGGGCCAGCACTTACTGACCAGGCCTAGAACATGGGAAAGTTCCCATAGATGTTTCACTGACCACAGTAATACAGGCCGTTTATTGTGAGTTGTTTATTGTGAGCCGTTTATTGTCAGGCACTTCATGGGCACTGTTTCTCACCCTGATGATACACACGCAAGACAGGTTCACTGTCCCCATCTCTTTCATAATTAGACCAAGTATCAGGGAGTCTATTGAATCCCCCAAGATCACATGGGAAGGGTAGACTTGGATTCTGCTGTGTCTAAACCATCAGGCCAGTCAGCCACAAGGTTGGGGGACCCACTGGGTGCCCAAGTTGGAGAGATGTGATATTCTGAACCTTTGCCAGGGAACAGACCATCTGGGGAGACAGCAGGTGCCCCACTGGCTGTAAAATGCTGCAGAGGTGGTGCAGGTCCAGTTACAGGGGGATGAGAGCCCACACTGCCCCCAGGCTCAGGAATCATTGTCTACATGGTATCTGTACAATGTGAACTAGAACCTGAACAAGGACAGCCTGCCATTTACAACAACATGGAGGGCATTGTGCTGAGTAAAAAAAAAGTCAGACAAAGACAAATACTGCATGGTATTACTTATATGCAGAATGTAAATACTACTACTACTACTACTACTACTACTACTACTAATAATAATAATAATAAAAGTCACAGAAGTAGAGAGTAGAACGGTTTTTGCCAGGAGCTGAGGTGTGGGGGAAATAAGAAGAGGTGGTAAAAAGATACCAGTGTGGCTCAGTTAGTTGGAGCATCACCCCATATATCAAAAGGACTTGGGTTCAATTCCCGGTGAGGGCACATACCTAGGTTGCAGCTTTGGTCCCCACTGGGGGAGCATACAGGAGGCAACCAATTGATGTTTCTCTCTCCACTGATGTCTCTTCCCCCCCTACCCCGCCCCACCCACCACCTTCCTATTTCTCTAAAATCAATAAGTATATCCTTGGGTGAGGGTTTAAAAAGTTAAAAAATTTGCTAAGACAGTAGGTCTTAAGCATTAAAGAAAGCATTTCTCATGAAAGAAAAAGGGAAGAGGTAAATATGAGGTGAGGGGCGTGTTCATTAACTCAGCGGGGGAAAGCTTTCCACGATGCATACTTAGATCAGATCATCACATTAAATATCTTCTCGTTTTACCCGTCAGTCATAGCTCAATGAAGCTGAAGGGAGATAAGATAACATCATGTGAAGAGTAAGGTAATGGCTCAAACCCTTGTTGTAGGGTCTGCCTCGCTGTGCAGGGTAATGAAGCAGTGAGAACGGTGGTTTTCTCACCCAGCCTCCAGCCCACACCCAGGTCCCTCTGTACCAGGTGCTACGAGTGCTCCCACACCCAGGTTCCCCCAGTCCTTAGCCATTTTTAAAATTTATTTATTTATTTTTAGAGAGAGGGGAAGGGAGGGAGAAAGAAAGAAAGGGAAAAAAACATCAGTGTGTGGTTGCCTCTCATGTGCCTCCTGCTGGGGACCTGGCCTACAACCCAGGCGTGTGCCCTGACTGGGAATCAAACTGGCGACCCTTTGGTTCATAGGCCAGTGCTCCACCCACTCAGCCATAGGAGCCAGGGCAACATTGGTGCTATTTCTATGCACTCTAGATCCTGACTTCTTCCCCTTTCCTATGTGAACATTTGCATCTGGAAAAATCCCAAATGCCTTGGAATTTTGTGCCTCGGGGTCAGCCCTTAACCATGACTTTTTTGGTGGGGACGTGAATGTCCTCGCTCCCTGGCCTCTCGCATTTGTGCCCTTTTCTGTCTCCTGTGCTTCCCCACAGGATTGAGCACAGGGACTGGAATATCCCACCGTTGTTTAGTCTCTTGTCCTTGAAGTCCTTCTTCCCCACTCTCCTACAATGTCATTTTTGCAGTAATATTTAAGAGTCTGTTTCTGGTGGCATCGGATCCAAGAGACCCTCAGAAACAACAATTCTATCAAGGCATCTGCAGGGACATATGAACACAGGGCAGGAACAGTTGTTTCCAGAACGTCGGTGGTAGCAGAGAAACATCAGCCCTGCCTTAACCCTTTATTTCTCCCTCTGTCCAGCCTACGGTTCTTCTCACATAGCGATTCACTCGAAATGAGAAGTAAATTCTTGCAAAATTCTCTTCCTGTGGCCCCACCACCTGGTGAACTGAGTTCACCCTGAGATGTTTAAATATCCTGGTAAAATTTCACATGCCTGTTTGCAAGTAGCCAAAATAAATTACAGAGAGTCTATGATGTTGGTCTGGAGGAGTCTCCCCAGGCATTGGGTACAGCTTAGTACAGGCACTACAAAGCAAGCCTGCCCTTGAGTCAAAGTTGGGTGGTGAAATTCACTATTTGGTCTGCACAGAATGGGAATGCAGGGTCCCTTCCGGGCAGCTTTGAAGCATGCACATAGAGTGTGCAGACAACTGATCTGTGCTTAAAGATTCGTTATTCTGTTTAGAATTGCGGTGGCATCAGTGTGAACTCAGAAAGTACATTTTAAGAAATGATATGCACACCCACTTGGTTGGCTATAATGAAATGAAAGGAAATTAACAAGAGTTGGCAGGGATGTGGGGATATTGGAACCCACATACATAGCTGGTGGGAAGGTAAAATCGTGTAGCCACATTGGAAAACTGTCTGGCAGGTCCTCAAAAAGTTAAACATAGAGTTACCATATGTCCCAGCAAGCTTACTCATAGATAGAACCCGGTTGAAAGCAAAAACTCAGTCACTTGTACATCCCTGTTCACAGGAGCACTCTTCAGAGTAGCCAGAAAGTACTAACAACCCAAACATCCACCAGTGAATGAATGGAGAAATAAGAGGTGGTCTAGCCACGTAATGGAATATTATTCAGCCATGAAAAAGGAACAAAGCCCTGACACCTGCTACAACATGGGTGAACCCTGAAAACTGGATGCTGAGGGAAAGAAGCCGGATGCAAAAGACCACAGGTTGAGTGATCTCATTGATAGGAAATATCCAGAACGGGCATTCATGGTTTGCAGGGCCTGGTGGGAGAGGGGAATGAGGACTGACAGCTTAGTGGGTATGAGATTTCATTTTGGGAGTTTTTTATATTAGTGGCAGAGGTTGCACAGCCTTGCAAACTGTACACTTCGAAAGTGTGCAGTTATGGAATGTGAATTACATATCCATAGAAATGAAAGAAAATAAGTTCTACATGAGCTAAAAATATGAAAGCTTTTCTACTTCTTCCCTCTCACACTTTGTGAGACTTCCCGCCTCATCTCTGATACTTGCATTGTCCTCAACTCTATCAGATTTCAGATCTGTCCAAGGAAACATTCCTGGCTTGAATTATGTTCCTACACCTGGAATAGCAATCACGTCCTAAGCCAGCGAATATGGAATAAGAACATTTTCAAAGGTTAATACTTATTTCGCAAAGATGCCTCAGAGGATATCTTCCATGAAAAAATGAATTAGCCCTGGCTGGATAGCTCAGTCGGTTAGAGCATTGTCCCACTGTACAAGGGTTGTGTGTTTGATCCCCGGTTGGGGCACATGCAAGAACCAACCATTGAATGCATAATGGTTGTGAACAGAATGCAAATGGGGGGAGCATCAGGTCGATGTTTCTCTCTCTTTATTTCTCTCAAAAAATCAATTAAAAAAATTCATTGAAAAAACAAATTATACCAGCATAGACTCCAGTGACAACCTTGTTTTTTTAAAAAAATTTTGTTTATTTATTCTTAGAGCGAGGGGAAGGGAAGGATAAAGAAAGGGAAACATCAATGTGTGGCTGCCTCTCACACACCCCCTGCTGGGCACCTGGCCTGCAACCCAGGCATCTGCCCTGACCGGGAATCAAACCACAAACCTTTGGGTCCCAGACCCGTGCTCAATCCACTGAACTAAACTAGCCAGGGCTCTGGTAACAACCTTTAACAATCTTGGCTCCTTGGAGTATGTGGCAGGGAGGCTGTTAGTTGCTAGAAGAAAGGGTGATAAGCATCTCGATGCTGTTAAAGTTTGGGTGAGTATCTGTTTCAGTCTAAAGCTGTCAAAAGCCCTAAATTTTCCCAAGATTCTCTGAGGACAGAGCCTTAGTCAACTCTTCATGGAAAAGCAACATCAGAGAAAAAGAATTTGGTATTCACCTATCTTTGAGAACTTTAAAGTTTTATCAAGTCCTTGATTACACATATCCCCAAAGTAACCTGAACACCACGGGTCCCAGTCCCCTTTCCCAAGCCAGTCGCACAAACTCACCCCTATGCTTCACATAACTCTAACACAGTTTTTCGTTATGAAAGGTGTCAGACAATGCACCTCAGGATGTTTTACTCACCAGGATTTACAGGAGTGGCTTAGCGATCACCTCCCCTAAAAGGTAGTGGTTCCTCCCAAGGCATTGAGAAAGTGGACATTAAGATTCTTCCCATGCCTTTTAATCCAAAGGAATCCCTTGCCTCAAGGTGGATACAATTGGTCAAAACACCTCTTCTCTAATTATCTTACCTGTTTTTACTGAGGAAGCTCCAGACCCACCACGGGTATCTAGAAAACAGGATGCAAGATAAGTAGTCAGTCCTGACTGGTGTGGCTCAGTGGGTTGGACATTGTACTGCAAACTGAAAATTTTGCTAGTTTAATTCCCAAGTCAGGGCACATGACCAGGTTCCCCGGTTGATGGCATTGTGAGAGGCAACTGATCGATGTTTCTCTCCCTCTCTTTCTCCCTCCTTTCCCCTCTCTCTAAAAATACATAAATAAAATTTTTTAAAAAAATAGTAAAGAAAAGTAGTAATAATGGGAATCTGAGGGGCATAAGTGTTCATGTTCTATTTATAGACTTTTTGGGAAGTGAGAAGAGAACGCCTCACTGGGTCTCCAAATGAGGGCCAGAATGTTAGATTGTGTTTCTTAATACTCCTAGAGTTTGATTTTTTTAATTAACAAAAATATGTATGGGTGACACCTCTAATTTCCCCCCTTCCAATCCTATTCCTTTCCAGTTTTCACCATCCTGGATAGAACACCATCATTTTGTTTTGTTCTTATTTATTTTTTTAAAAAAGTGTTTTATTATTATTACTATTTGTAATCCTTACCTGAGAATATGTTCATTAATTTTAGAGATAGAAGAAGACATGGAGGAATGAAAGGAGGAAGAGAGAGAGAGAGAGAGAGATACATCGATGTGAGAGAGATTGGCTCCCTCCCGAATGCACCCTGACCAGGGATCAAACCCACAACTGAGGTGTGTGGCCTGACCAAGATAGAACCCACAACCTTTTGGCATATGAGATGAGGCTCCAACTTACTGAGCCACCCAACCAGGGCTAATTTTCTTTTTATTATCTCCCGGCTTTGGATGTACAGCTTAGTGGTTGGGCAATCATATAATTTACATAGTGTTCCTCTCAATATTTCCAGTACCCCAAGGGGCACCATACAGAGTTATTCCAGTATTACTAACTATATTTCCTATTCTTTAATTTCTTCCCCATGACTATTTTGTAGCTACCTATTTGTGCTTCTTAGTCCACTTTTACCCAGGAGCACTGCCATTTTGCAAATATTTTTTTCCCATTTGGTAGGTTGCCCTTTCATTTTGTTGACAGTTTCCTTTACTGTGTGCATGCTTTTTAGTTTGATTTTTGTTTTTGTTCCTTGTTTTTATTTATTTTTGTTTTTGTTTCTTGTGCTTTAATGTCATATCCAAAACACTGTTGCCAAGACCAATGTCAAAGGAATTTTCCCCTGTTTTCTTCTAGGAGTTTTATGGCTTGGGAATCTTATGTTTAAGTTTTTAATCCATTTAGAGTTCATTTTTGCGAGTGGTGTAAGATAGGGGACCAGATTCATTTTTCGTTAATTGGTTATCCAGTTTTCCCAATGCCGTTTGTTGAAGAGACTATCCTTTTCCCATTGAGTATGCATGGCACCCTTGTCAGATATTAGCTGATTGTATATGTAAGGGTTTATTTCTGGGTTCTCTATTCTGTTCCATTGATCTATATGTCTGGCTTTTATGCCACTACCTTGCTGGTTTGATTACTACAGCCTTGTAGTATAGTTTAAGATCAGGGAGTATAATACCTTCAGTTTTATTCTTCTTTCTCAGGATGCTTTGGCTATTCAGGATCTTTAGTCTGTTTCATACACATTTTAGGATTGTTTCTTTTATTTCTGTGAAAAATATCATTGGTATTTTGGTAGAGATTGCATTGAATCTATAGATGGCTTGGGTAATATGGACATTTTTAACAATATTAATTCTTCTGATTCATGAGCATGGGATACCTTTCCATTTCTTTGTGTCTTCAATTTCTTTCATCAGAGTCTTGTACTTTTCAGTGTAGAGATATTTCAGCTCCTTGGTTAAATTTATTTCTAAGTGTCTTATTGTTTTTTATGCTGTTGTGACTGAAATTATTTTCTTTCACTCTTTTTCTGATATTTTGTAGTTAGTGTATAGGAATAAAACTGATTTCTGTATGCTGATTTTATATCTTGCAACTTTACTGAATTTGACTAGTTCTAACAGTTTTTGGTTGAGTCTTTAGGATTTTCTATATATAAGAGCATATCATCATTAAATAAAGATGAATTTACTTTTGTTGTAATTTGTAATCAGCAATAGGCATCACGTATTATATACTTATAATTGAGATGACTTCCAAGACTAACCAAAATTGTACTGAAGAGTTTTAAGATGCAAAGGTAACACAGAAGATGTAGAAAATAAAGGAAATTACAAAGAAGCATCATCCTAGGATTTAAATATACTATAAAAGGCAATAATAGTGGCCCTTGGAGAAATCACTTAATTCAATGGCTATCTATTAGGTTACTTCTTTAAAATATTTATAACAGCCCTGGCTGGTGTAGCTCAGTAGATTGAGCACGGGCCTGCGAAGCAAAGGGTTACCAGTTCGATTCCCAGTCAGGGCACATGCCTGTGTTGCAAGCTATGTCCCCAGTAGGGGACACATGAGAAGCAACCACACACTGATGTTTCTCTCCTACTCTTTCTCCTTATCTTCCCCTCTCTCTAAAAATAAATAAATAAAATATTAAAAAATATATTTATAACATTACCCAAGCTGTGGGTGACCATTTAACTTCTTTCCACTTTGGGTTTCTTTTCTTTGTTTTTCCCAATTGCTCTGGCTAGCATTTCTAGTACCATGTTGAATAGGAGTGGTGAGAGTGGACACCTGATCTAAGAGAAAAATATTTCAACCTTTTTAAAATATATATTTTATTTATTTATTTTCAGAGAGAGGGGAAGGGAAAGAGAAAGAGTGGGAGAGAAACATCAATGTATGGTTGCCTCTCATGTGTCCCCCACTAGGACCTGGCCCGCAACCCAGGCATGTGCTCTGACTGGGAATCGAACCGGTGACCCTTTGCTTCACAGGCCTGTGCTCAATCCACTGAGCTATACCAGCCAGGGCATATTTCAGCCTTTTATCATTGAGTATGATGTTAGCTGTTAGCTTGTTGTATAGGGTCTTTCTGCTGTTGAGGTACATCCCCTCTATATCCACTTTGTTGAGAGTTTTTACCTCAAAAAGATGTATTTTGTTCAATGCTTTGTCTGCATCTATTCAAATGGTCATATGATTTTTATTCTTCATCTTATGAATGTGGTTGTCACAGTTATTGATTTATGTATGCCAATTCATTCTTGATTCTCAGGGATAAATTCCACTTGATCATGGTGTATGATCCTCTCAATGTGCTGGTGAATTCAGTTGCTAACATTGGGTTGAGAATTTTTTCATCTATAGTCATTGGGGATATTGGTCTGTAGTTTACTTTTCTTGTAGTGTCTTCATCTGGCTTGAGTGAGTATAAGGGTAAAATGAGTGTGGTAGTGATTCCTCCTTTTCAGTTTTGTTTTTAAGAGTTTGAGTAAGATTGGCATTGTTTCTTCTTTAAATGTTTGGTAGAATTCACCAGTGAAACCACATGTGTGGTCTTAGGCCTTTTTGTTGTTGTGGTTGGGAGGTTTTGTGGTTTTTTCCCCTTACTGATTCATTCTTTGCACCCATTACTTTCTGTTCAGATTTTCTGTTTCTCGATGACTCAGTCTTGGTTTGTAGACTCACACAAAGGCTTTCTCACTGGTAGGTGTTGTCCAAGTCCATGTTCTTCGGGTGCTTCCAGACCACAGCCAAGAGGGGCTGGAAGCAGACACATTCCCTGCAGGTTCCACAGCTGGTACTGAGGTCCGTCTGCCTATGACCTGATGCACAGTAGGTGAGACTCCTCCCTTGCTCAGTTTTCTACATCTGATGCTTTAACGTTTGGGGACCTTGATGACTTCAGAGGGATTCCCCTCTCAGGGTTAGCAATTCCTAGAGACAGGTAACATATCTCTCTGGAGTGCACCTCTCAAATGCAAACCAACCAATCCCAGCTACCTCCTTCATTGGTCTCTCCCACTCAGGGCCACTATTTCCCTGCCCTCATCACCCCGGTGCCAGGTCCCAGATAACCTGGGCAGCCTCTCTGCCGCAATCCTAAGCCTGTTGATTCTCATAGAAACAAGAAAGGCTCATTCCCTCTGGCTGCTTCCTGGCCCTGGTGCCTCCCCATGTGGTTCTGCATGACATAGTGTGCCCTCACCTCTTGGGAACTGTACCAAACTGTCTCTTCGGTGACAACTGTCTCTTGATCCTATGGCCTTGATGCTTCTCAAATTTTCTGTTAGTACCTCTAATCTAAAACACTGTTGTCCATCCATATCACCGAGACCCTCTCAGAAGCCCCAATGAAAGTCTTGCTCTCATTTCCCTACACCGGAAGTGTCACATCTGTTTCCTGGATTTTTTGTTTGTTTCCTGGATTCCTTCTTTCTCTGCCAGGTCCCATCACAGGCCAAGGAATAGGGGCATCAAGGAGGAAAACTGAGGCTGCCCTTGCTCACCTGTGACCACCAGCTGCAGGGGTTCACTCTTCTCAGACCACTCATGGGAACCCATTGTCTTGTAGGCACAAAAGTACGTGCCCGCAGTTTTAGGTTCCAGGTCCATGAGGAGGAATTCAGCATCGTATCCTGCTGAGCTCCGCTCCTGCTTGTACCCAGGGTCCTGCGACTTCCCCAGCATGACCGTCACGTTCTGGAAGTGACAGTGGCACTTCAGGGTCACATTAGCACTGTGCTTAACCACTGGTCCCGGCAAGGCATTAAGGGAGGGTTTGGGAAGTTTCTCTGGAAAGAATTCAGAATTAGTTGGACTTTTTATCTTTTTTTAAACATTTTTCTTTTTAATCCTAACCTGAGGATATGTTTATTGATTTTAGAGAGAAAGGAAGGTAGAGAGAGAGAGAGAAAGGTCAATATGAGGGGGAAACATCAATTGGTTGCCTCCCGTACACACTCCATGTGAAGATCAAACCCACAACCTAGGCATGTGCTCTGAGCAGGAATCAAACCTTTAACCTTTTGGTGTACTGGATGATGCTCCAACTAACTGAACTACCTGGCCAGGATGAAAGTTTTATTTTTCCGATTACAGTTTACATTCAATATTTTATATTAGTTTCAGGTATACAGCATGTGGTTAGGGAATCATATCCTTTACTTGACTCCCTACCTTAATGACCAAAAACACTCTCCTAGAATTCAGAGAATTAAAGGTAAGAGGTCATATGACTCAGCCATTAAAAAAAATAAAATCTTGCCATTTGCTGCATTGTGGATGGACCTAGAGGGTATTACACTAAGTGAAATTAGGTGAGACAGAGAAAGACAAATACCATGTGATTGCACTTATATGTGGAATCTAAAAACAAAATAAATGAACAAACAAAACAGAAACAAACTTGGAGATACAGTGAACAGATTGAAACTGTCAGAGGAGAGGGGTGAAGAGATGACAAAGTACAAACTGGCAGTTACAAAACAGTCACAGGGAGACTTCCGGCCAAGATGGAGGTGTAGGTGGAAATACTGTACCTCCTCATACAACCAAATTTAAGGACAACAAAGATTTAGAAACAAAAATACAACCAAAACAGACAGAAAATTGAATTGTACCAAAGTCCGACAACAACAAACTATTCATCCAGACCGGTAAGAGAGATGGAGTCGGCGGCCAGTGGAGAGGGGTCATGGCAGGAAGAGGCAGTGGCTGGCAGAACTGGGTATGGGATGAATCAAGCAAATCCAGTGAGGCACACAAGGCGGCTGGCTGACTGTGGACACATATTCACATGCAGATAAACCAGGCAAGTTTAAAAATGGTCAGTGAGACAGACTGTGCAACCCAGGGCCCCAGCAACGGGAAATGAAGCCTAAAAGCACCGATTAGAAAAACTTTCAGAGGTTGAGGTGCCAGGAGAGGCTCCCAGCCTCACAGGAGAGTTCACTGGAGAGACCCACAGGGTCCTAGAACGTACACAAGACCACCCACCCTGGAACCAGCACCAGAAGGGCCCAATTTGCTTGTGGGAAGTGGCAGAGGGGACCAAAATCCAAGAGAAAGAGGAACACCATTGCTGTGTCTCTGACCCCACTCCCACATACAGTGTCACAACCCAGCTACAGGGTTGCCCTGCCCTGGTGAACATCTAAGTCTCCACCCCTCATACATAACAGGAGTGAACAGACCAAAACATTATGGCTCAAGCAGAAGAACAGCTCAAAGCCCCAGAGCCAATACTTTTAAGTGACAAAGAGACAGCCAACCTATTGAATGCACAGTTCAAAACATTGGTGATCAGGATGCTCGCAGAACTGGTTGATTTTAGTCACAAAGTAGATTAAAAAAATGAAGGCTACACTAAGTAAAATGAAGCAAAATGCACAGGGAACCAATAGTGATAGAAAGAAAACTGGGACTAAAATCAATGGAGTGGACCAGAAGGAAGGAAGAAACATCCAACCAGAAAAAAATGAAGAAACAAGAATTGAAAAAAATGAGGAGAGGCTTAGGAACCTCTAGGACATCTTTAAATGTTCCAACATCCAAATTATAGGGGTACCAGAAGGGGAAGAGGAACAGCAATAAGTGGAAAACTTTTATTTGAACAAATAATAAAGGAGAATTTCCCCAATCTGGCAAAGGAAATCGACTTCCAGGAAATCCAGGAAGCTTAGAGTCCCAAAGGAGTTGGACCCAAGGAGGAACATACCAAGGCACATCATAATTATATTAGCCAAGATTAAAATGAAGGAGAGAATCCTAGAAGCAGCAAGAGATAAGGGGACTGTCACCTACAAAGGAGTTCCCATCAGACTAAGCAGATTTCTCAAAAGAGACCTTACAGGCAAGGAGGGGCTGGAAAGAGGTATTCCAAGTCATGAAAGGCAAGGACCAACATCCAAGATTACTCCCTCCAGCAAAGCTTTCATTTAGAATGGAAGGACAGATAAAGTGCTTCTCAGATAAGATCAAATTCAAGGAGTTTATCATCACCAAGCTCTTATTATATGAAATGTTAAAGGGACTTATCTAAGAAAAAGAAGATAAAAAAGATGAACAGCGAAAGGACAGCAAACTCACAGCTATTAACAACCACACCTAAAACAAAAGCAAACTAAGAGGACAGCTAGATCAGGAGGGGAGCCACAGAAATGGAGATCACATGGAGGGTTAGCAATAGGGGAGTGGGAGGAGGAGAAGGGGGGAGAAGGTACAGAGAATAAGTAGCATAGATGGTAGATAGAAAATAGAGAGGGGGAGGGCAAGAATAGTATGGGAAATGTAGAAGGTAAAGAACTTATAACACATGGACATGAACTAAAGGGGGGATTGTGGGTGGGAGGGGGTGTGCAGGGTGGAGGGGAATGAAGAGGGGGAAATGGGACAACTGTAATGGCATAATCAATAAAATATATAAAAAAAACAGTCACAGGCATGTAAAGTATAGCACAGGAAATATAGTTACTGATATTGTAAAACTATGCATGGTTCCAAATGGCTACTAGAATCATTGGGGAATCAATTTGTAAGTAAGGTATATAAATAGTTAATGACTATATTGTACACTTAAAACTAATATAATATTATATATCAACTGTAATTGAAAATAATTTTTTTTAAAAGTCATGAAACTTGAGATGAAGAAACAGTTTATGTGGAAGACAACTCACCATTCTTGTGTTCACCTTCAAAGCCCAGACAGAGCCCTGGAAAAGAAAATCTCATGAGAGATAAATGATGTGCTTGCCTTTTAGTAGTAATGAGGCAGAGAACACATGACCAATCTGCTGTGTTCCTTGTAGGTATTTCCCTGGATTTATTTTTCACCTTTTACTTTTGTCCCACTGTTCGTCCTTCAGAAGTTATGTTTACGGAAAGCCTTCTAGCAACCGTTTCTGATTTGTTGTGTTGGTAACTCTAACTAAGCTTTTATGATTAGTCAGTCCTTTTGACGTCTATAAGTTGAACATTTACCTCCATTTTTCTCTCATATTTTTTGGATTGCCATATTTAACCTTACCACTTCAATGGCCAATAGTTATTTTACTGTAGAGTGTTGGGGGCGGGGGGCGTTCTTCCTCAATCAAATGGAAAGAGTTTGTGGCACAGGAAATGCATAGAAGAGACTGAGGTCAGTCTATGACTGCTCAGAGTTGTCTGCCCTGCAGCTGGAGGTCTGGGCTATGTTCATAACAGCCTAAAGTTCAAAGTGTATGTGTGGGAGGAGCATTACCCCAAAGGCAAGAGCTGTACCCAAAGGAGGAAGGAACTGAAGCAGATAAGTCCTGATGACCCCTCCACACAGCCCACTCACAAAGGAGGAGCTGCTGGCTGAGGGAGCTGGGGGATTCAGCTCCTGTGAGTCCACCCCAAGATTATAATTCAGGTATTTTGTTTTTGTTTTGTTTTTTAACTGGCTGAGGGCTGTTTGATTGCATTATGTTCATGTTGAGGACAGTTAGAATGAGGCTGAGGATAGGGCTGGTCAGAAAATTTTCTCCTTGGCTGCCATCCCCAGTCATTCTTAATATGTTGTTCTTAATATTCCTGGTTTGCTTTTCACATCCTGTTGACGCTGCCTCCCTGTACGCCAATGGAACATTCATGCCAAGACTGTGGTGTTTGCAGGATAGATGTGGAGATTCCATCTGAGCTCTAAATGTCTCAGCTGAGTAAACCCAGGGTGTTACCTCAGCCTCTGAACCTTAGGTTCATCTTTTTGTGTGAATATCAGAATGAAAACATGAGGATATCACAGCCCACAAAATCCTGACAGGGGCCACGTATCCAATATACAGATATTATCGTTTCTGTACTTGCCCTGTTTCCCACAATATCCCCCACTCCAGCGTGAATTTTCTTACCTATCCAAACCCATCCCTCCCAGTCCTGGAGACTCACCGAGGCAAAGCAAGGACAGGAATCTGGTGATCATTGCGTCACTTCCACCCAGACAAAGGTCTTGTCTTCAGTTTTACAGTCAAAGAAGGGGGACTGGGGTGATGGAAGGTTTCCAACTGCCCACTTTGTCCCAGGATGTGTGGGGAGACGTTTTGCTCTGACACTCTGGTTCTCCACACCATCTGGTATACAGTTTCCTTCTTGCAATCAACTCAGGAAACCAGAAGCCATCAATGACAACATCTTCCCCATAATCCAGTGTGTGTGGCTATGGCTCCGCCCACCCCAAGACTTCATCTCTTCTGAATTTGTGCCCAAGACATGTCCTTTCTCTTTTTATTTTTATTTAGTGATTTTTAGAGAGATGATAGAAGAGAACAAGGGAGAAGGAGAGGGAGGGAGAGAGGGAGAGAGAAGCATTAATTTGTTGTTTCACATATTTATGCATTCATTGATTAATATATATATGTGTCCCCACTAAGAATCAAACCTGCAGCTTGGCTCATGGAGACGATGCTCTAACCAACTGAGCTATGCAGCTAGGGCCAAGTCACTGTCTATAAAAAATCTTGGGGGGAAATATTTATAGAGTCACAAAAAATAGTATACAGAGTTCCCACATCTCCAATCAGCCAGCTCCTCCCGTGGTAATATAACTATCATACATTATCAAAACCAGACATTGGTATTAGCACAATACAGAGGCTGGGCAAGCACATAATAACATTTAAAATGCTGGGATCTCTTTACAAGCTGGACCCTCACAGCCCCTGAGAGCAGGTAGGTTAACAGAACAACAATGACAACAACAAACAGAAGTGAATGTGTCTGCCACTGAGTCTGAGTAAACTTGTCCCCAGAAAACCATGACAAATGGGTCACATGACAGTCAGATTTTTACTGTGCTACCTTCTTACAGGAGAGAAAGTAATCAGAGAACATTGAAAAGCTTTCATTCAATTTTCTTTTCTCCAGTGGGAAGAGCATAATCTCATTTTCTAAGGTGCTAAGGAGGAAACCTTGCTGAATTAAGGAAGTGGTTCCTCCCTAGAAGTGCAACTTTCATTGTCTTTCCTCCCCAGCTACTCATTGCTTTTGAAGTGTTAACCTAAAAATAAAAGGGCTTTTCAAAGGGAGAGGCAATAAGCATTTATTTGAGTTCAATAAGAAGAGCTATTTGTCTGGGAAGCACTAATTTGTACAGAAGCTCAAAGAGTTGTAGCTTGGAGACAAAGATAATAGGTATTTATGAGAAAGGGAAGGGGGGCAATTACATCAACAGAAAAAAGGCATTTCTTTTTTTTTCCATGGGAAAAATATAATTTTATTTTATTAGTATGTAATAGTTTATTGCATGATGTCATAATTGATTTAATATATTGTGGGAACATTTAATTCCAAATTTGGGCTATTGCATAAATTTGCATAGTAGACACCCTTGCGTGTATGTTTTGAGCACACAGGTAGACTACATTTGAACAGAACTGTTTTATTATAAGACTCTTGAAATTTTTTGATAAATATTGCTGGTATATTTCAGAAAGGCAGTATCAATTTGTACTCTAAACAGCAATATATGAGATCTTCTTTTGGCCCACAACTTGCCTGTTTGAAAGGCAAAGATAGTATTTCATTGATTATTCAAGTGGCATTGCTTTGATTAGTTGTGAATGTGAATAAATTTCTCTTATCTATTGAGTCTCAAAAATAAAAAAAAAAAATTCAAAAGTTTCTTAGGCATTTCCTAAGCACACAGAAGTTTAAAAAATAGGAAGATATTTCTACAAGTGCAGATAAGCTAACATAATGACTGTAATTCTGAACAACATTTTAAATTTCCAGTCCGAAAGTATTCAGCCCAGTAGTCGTAGTGTCCGTTTATTGTTTTTTAATTAAAAAATTAAAATTGTATTTATTTATTGGAGAGAGAGCGAGGAACAGAAAAACATCAATTTTGTTGTTCTACTTATTCATACACTCATTGGTTGAGTCTTGTATATACCCTGAATGGGGATCAAACCCACGACCTTGGAGTATCAGGGTGGTGCTCTAATCAACTGAGCCACCTGGCCAGGGTCTATGTTGTCTTACTGTCTTTGCAAAATTTGGCACAAATGGTTGCTTAGGGCCAGTCCAGAGGTTTTTAACATTCCAACATTTGATGCAGGGCCGGACTGCGTGCAAGGCAGTTCCTCTGGAAGGCAATTTCTCTAAGATGGTAGCTCAGCTTCTGCTGTATTTTCATTTTTTAAAGATTTTATTTCTCTACTTTTAGACAGAGGAGAAAGCAGGGAGAACTAGGGAGAGAAACATCACTGTGTGGTTGCTTTTCACGTGCCCCCAACTGAGGACCTGGCCCAGGCATGTGCCCTAACTGGGAATTGAACTGGCAACCCTTTGGTTCACAGGCTAGTGTTCTATTCACTGAGCCACAAGAGCCAGGACTAAAACTCTTAACGTTTCATCTCAAAGCAGATGCCAGTTCTTCAGACACAGAACACACCAGCAGAGGCAACTAACAGCTGAGTAGGAGGCCAGGAGTACATTGTCAAACATTTTCTGAGAGGCAAAATGGATTAAGTCCCCCAGACTGGACCAGTATGATTGAATAGACTGATTTGTAGAGAAGACAGATTAAATGGAGTGGAGAAAAGCTCCAACTCTAGGCCACTCTGCAGCTATAACAGAACTTGTTTGAAGCTCATGCAGGCTCATTGTCCTCTGATTCAACTTCAGCCTGTCCTGCAATTGACTTTTATTTAAGTGCATTTTTTTTTCAGTAGTTAAGTTTCCAACAAATCGCCAGTGGAAAGTGAGTTCTGAGTTTTACTAAGATTTGAAATCACAGTGGATTAGTCCTGACTGGTAACAGAAGTGTGTTTGAAAGCACATATGCACACTTTCTCCCTATCACTTGGATCAGTTTATTTCTGTCCAACTCTATCTTCATTCAAATGGTGTAACTTCATCACCAACCCTTGCAAGTCAGGGACTGGAAATTGTGGTCATTCCGCTCAATACTGCTCACAGCAATAGCCTGTATTGGGTAAAACAGATCAGAAATTTTATTCTTTGATCAAAGAATAGAGAAGTACAAGTTTGTGCTCTAAAGATCCCTTCTCCCTAGCTCTGGGGAATTAGGAAAGTCTTAAGTGCTTTTGGGAGGATATAGTTAGGGAGGTTTGGGGGCAGAGACTTTCAAGGAGGGGTGTTTTCAGATTTCCAAGAAAGCACATGCAGTTCCCAGACATGCTTAGCCACACAACACATATCTCATTATAACGTTAAATCTCCACCCCTGGGTGTGACTTTTATGCTAATGAAGTATGCTAATGAAGTATGCTAATGAAGAAAAGTTCTTGAAAAGGTTGCTTGGGAAGGGGTGTCAGGCACCACTCTGGACCTTTCTGGTGCAAACACACATCTCAGTTGTGGTCCTTGGCTTTCTTACCTGGTCTCTAAGCACTAGCCTCCTTGGAATTTGTCTTTCCCTGATGATTCCACCTGCTTTTGTCAGGGGATGTGGTGGAGGGAACCCAAGAAAGTTAATAAAGTTTAAAGATTATTAATGGGGCCCTGGCTGGTGTAGCTCAGTGGATTGAGTGCCGGCTGTGAACCAAAGGGTCACCAGTTCAGTTCCCAGTCAGGGCACGTGCCTGCATTGCAGGCCAGGTCCCTAGTTGGGGGCACGTGAGAGGCAACCACACACTGATGTTTCTCTTCCTTTCTTTCTCCTTCCCTTCCCCTCGCTCTAAAAATAAATAAATGAAATCTTTAAAAAAATAAAAGAGAGGCCAAATGACTCTTGTATCCACTTCCCACCGAGGCCTTGCTAATCACACTCCTACATAAACCTGCGCCTATCACCATATCAAAGTCCTTTCTAGTCCCTGCCGCCTTCATCCTTTGATTTTTGCAACTTCCATTTAATACAGAGATTCCATGTTCCAAATCTGGAGTCAAACCCCGCATCTTTCAGAAAGTTTTTCAGACCCTGGCCCTTTCGTAAAATCCAAGAGTGCTCACTTACAGTTCTAATTTCTGTTCATTCCATCCTACCCCACATGTTCATCTTTCTGCTGTTGCTAAAGTGAGGATGAGGGCTGAGACATGAGCTCACTTACCCTTTACCAAGCCTAGAAAGGAGTTCTGTACACAGTAGACACTCAGTAAGTAATAGGGACTGGATTTGACCTCAAGTAGGCATTGGTCTCAGTTGCTGTAAAATGGGACTGTTTCTGCCCTGGCTGGTGTGGCTCATTGGATTGAATGCAGGCCTGCAAATCAAAGAGTTGCCAGTTCAATTCCCAGTCAGGGCACATGCCTGGGTTGTGGGCCAGGTCCCCAGTAGGGGGCGCATGAGAGGCAACCACACATCAGTGTTTCTCTCCCTCTTTCCCCTCCCTTCCCTTCTGTCTAAAAATAAATAAATAAAATATTTAGAAAAAACGGGAGTGCTTCTCAACCCTTTTAAGTACCAAAGGGAATGAGGACGGGGTCTGCAAGACCCAGCAGCAGGCCCTAGTTGGGGGTGAGTGGGGATTTTTTCTTTTTGCACAGAGCTGGGCAAGAAGATACTGGAGTGTGTGACAAGGAGGGGCAGGGGGATTTAATCGGCAGGAACACGGTCAGTGCACGTTGGCCCCGAATGTAAGACGCAGTATATCCTGCAGCCCAGCCGAGGTGTCAAGCTGCGGGTGCTGCTACGCGAGCCCCGTTGCCCCCACGCCACGTGCTCCTCACGCAAACCAATCCCAACACACGCCGCTCCTTTGCACGCACCGCATGCCTGCGGCCTCCCACGCACGCGACTCCGCAAGGCACGCCGCCCCCACGCACGTTCCACACGCTGCGCACCTCGTACGCTCGCCTTTCGCCTCACGACCTCACGCAGGTGCAGTACGTTCGTCCGAGCATGCGCGCCTCGTGTGTCTCCTGGAATCTTCTGTGCGCTGCTCAGTGCGTCACCTGCCTCAGTGTTTGTTCTGGGAGAGGATTGAGCGTCCGGTCGGGGGTGGCCTGTAGGTCTGGGGACCCCAGTTCCCTACCCCGCGTGGTTATGTTGCGTTCTGGTGGGGAAGCACACCACCCCCAACCGGTGAGTACTGCCGCCATTGCGCGCTGGGCGGGTGTCCCCCAGAGGAGGAAGCTTCCGGCCCCGGGAAACACCGTTGTCGTGGGAACCTCGGTGCCGGCGCCTCTGGTGGGCTCGCGGGGTGGCCTGGGGCGGGCAGTGCGGGAGCACCCGCAGGACCCGCTTCCGCTCTTTCGCCGCCTCTTACCTGGCTGGGAGGTCCGCGGTTCTTCTGTTTGAGGTGATTTGGGCGCCTCAACGGAATAATAAAATCGACTAGGTGTTTCATGACCTACAAGGATTTGTTCTGTAAGAAGAAAGGGTCGCGCCCCAGTGCATAGTCTGCCTGCCAACATGGAGGAGTGTTTATAGAAGGGAGAGGAAGTTAAGGGAAGGGGACCATGGAACATAGAGCTTTATTATTAAAATTCTTCCAGTAGAGTTCTCCCGATTGCGATTGCGCGGAGTGTGAGAACTTCCACAGACTCTAGCTCCTCCCATAGACACTACGATTTAAGTTTGCGTAAAGGTTCTGTTGGTCTCCATTTGGCGTGGTCCCCCCTAAAGAGTACCCTAAATATACCACGGCTTTTTCTTTCCAGAGGTTGGCTAGTAGTGTAACCAATTTAATATATTTTTTTAAATTTTATTTTTATTTTTATTTCTTATCTTTAGAGGGAAGGGAAGGAGAAAGGGAGAGAAACATTATTGTGGGGTTGACTCTCACATGGCCCCCACTGGGCACCCGGCCTGCAACCCAGGCATGTGCCCTGACTGGGAATCGAACTGCGACCCTTTGGTTAATTTAATATTTTTAACGGCTTAAAACGGCATCTGTAACATGCTCATTCATATCCTGCAGTCTTTTTCTACATTTAATTAATTAATTTCTGCATAAATTAATTACATGTAATTAAATATAATTAAATTTGACATGTAACACTGCACACAAAGTTTAAGGTGTACAGTTGTTATTTTCATAATTCATGTATTCGTATCCTGCTTGCCAGGTCGTAGGAATAATTATCACATTACATAGTTGTATATAGCAGGTTCTTGAATGACGTCATTTTGTTCATTGTAGTCTGGTTATAACGGTTGGTACGATACCCAGGAACTCAAGTCTTGTTTCTATTGATTAGCCTGTGGTGAAATAGGTTTTCTCATGTGGTGTCACTTGAAGTCGCAGAAGCTATCTGTGATGTTAAGTGGGGGTTTTACTGTACAGTATTATGGTCTACATTTATTATACTGTGCATTTGGTCTCTTATGGCTTATTGATGACTCCTTACAAGTGTATACCTGTAAAAGACATCAACAGTGTTATTATCTCCCACTTCCATCCCCTGGTAACCACCATTTTACACTTTTTATGAGTTTGACTTTAGATTCCGTACGTAAGTAAGATCAGACAGAACTTGTCTTTTTCTGGTGTGTCTTGTTTAGCATAATGTCCTTAAGATCCATGCAAGTTGTCACAAATGGTAGGATATCCTCCTTTCTAGTGGCTAAAGAATATTCGTGTGTGTGTGTGAGAGAGGGAGAGAAATGGAGAGATCTTGACCATTCATCCATTTATGGGTACCTTGGTTATTGTGAATAATGCTGTGATAAACAGTGTATATATGTATTACATCGAAATCCTGTTTTCATTTCCTTTTATCCAGAAGTTGGATTGTTAGACTCTGTGGTGATCTATTTTTAATTTTTTGAGGACCCTTGTATGGTTTTCCACATCATGATTGTGGTATAGACGTAGTCCCAGGTCCCTGAACAAACCAAGTTTCTGACCTCTTTTCTAAATTCTTAATCCCAGTAAACCCAGTTCTATGATCCCTGTGTAAGACCTAGCCCCTGATTTCTGTATAGACTTACTTCCTGATCCATGTACAAACTCTGATCTCTGTAGAGGTCAAGTCCCTGATTTCCCCCCTGACAGAGTTCCTGGTCCCTATACACACCAACTCCCTGACCCCTGTAAGACAGGTGCAAAAATTGGAACCCAGCTCTGTCTCAAAAGCACATTCACTTCCTGTTCCAGATAATCATTCAAAGCTTCACCATCTCACCCCTCGGTGATGAAATATTGCATTGTCTCAGGCATCATTCTATGGAAGAGTGCACAGAGGGTCTGAGTGAACGTGTTAGTTATCTATTACTGTGTTACAGTGTCACCGCAGACTCATGGCATTAAGCAGCAGATTATTCTCTCCCAGTTCCAGGGCCAGAAAAAAACGGCACAATCTCTTAGGACCCTCAGGGGCTGTAGTCACCGTGCCAACCAGGCTGTGATCTAATCTGAAAGCCATTTGGGGAAAGGATGCACTTTGGAGCTGCAGTGTAATTCCAGAACACACTACCCAGAGCTAGCACAGCCCTCACAGGCTAAGGGTGTAGTGCCCACAAGACTGCCCTCACTTTAGATACCAGCTGCAAATCCAGGTGTCCTCAGGCCACCCTGACCAACAGCTGAGAATTTTGGAGTTCTCTACTATCCCCACTCATCACAATTTGCTAGAGCCACTGAAAGAATACAAAGGAAGTGCTGTACTTAGGGTTACAATTTTATTGTGAAGGAAACAAATCAGTACCGGCTAACGACACACATGATGAAGTCTGAGAGGGTCCCAAAAGCGAAGCTTCCTATATCCTCAGGATGTGTCTACTCTCCAGGCACATGAGGATGGGTCACCAACCAGGAAGTGTACCCAGCTTCAGTATCCAGCATTTTTAATGGAGTGTCTTCAACAGGTGTGGTTGATTGTATTATTTCCCACATGACTGAGTCTGTCTCCAGCCTTCCTCCGTTCACAGAGGTTGGGCTGATAGCACCAGGCTCACATTCCCAACACTCTAATCACATGGTTGGTTTTCCTGGCATGAACAGTGCCGCTGCTCCCCACCCCCCAACCCAAGGCATTTCTTGGCATATTACTCTGTATAAATGATACCTCTCACTTAAAAAAAAAATAGTCCTGGTCGGTGTGACTCAGTTGGTAGAGTATCATTCCACAAAGCAAAAGGTCGCTGGTTCAGCTAGCAGCTAGAGCACACCCCTGGGTTGCAGGTTCAATCTGCAATTGGGACGCATGTGATAGGCAACCAATTGATGTTTCTCACATCGATGTTTCCCTCCCTCACTTCCCCTCCAAAAATACATAAATTTTATTTCCTTAGAAGAAGGAAGTCTAAACTGGAGATTTGAGGAAAGGCATCTCCATTTGTCTCATCCCCCAAGGGGCTTCTGCCCCATTGTCCAGCCCCTTGTTGGAGGTTCTTCCTGGATCCAGATCTCTTCCTGGCTACGCCTTAAGGGTTGAATACACACAGGTTTCCAGAGGTTGCTTCATCTGGTTGGAAGGGCCCTCACTCAGGACTCTGGCATTCAGCTCAGCATACATCACTCCTTGAGGTTCTTCAGCTGTTGACTCTTGAGATCCTTCATCCTGAGGGTGAGCAAGGAGAAGAGGATCACATCTCCCAGAGAGGAGTATTGTGTGGTAACGATGGAGCAGTCATAACAGCCGAACGGCAAACAACTTTCAGGAGACTGCCCCAGCACCTCCTAGTCCTCAGGTGAGGTCGCTTCCCCTCTTGAGGGTTAGCTGGACCTAGCATCTTACATCTGTCAGAGGAATAGAGCAAACAGAAACACGCCAAAAAAGCAGGAAGGCCATGTCCAAGATGAGGTTGTGAAGGATGGCGTCTTCTATCATGCCCACTTCTCTGTTGTCCCCTGGCTCACTCAACACTGATGAAATCATCTGCCATGTTATCAGCTGCCCTTTGGAGAGGCCCACATGACCAGCATGGTCTCTGGCCTACAGCCAGCAAGGAAGTGAGTCCTGCCGACAACCACCTGAGTGAGCATGGAAGCAAATCCTGTCCTAGTCAAGCCCTGATAGGCCCTGGCCGGCACCTGCATCACAGCGCTGGGAGACCCAGAGTGAGAGACCCAGCTCAGCCACTCCAGAGCTGACCTACGACCATGTGAGATGACAAATGTTGCTTTAGACCACCACATTTAGGGATGAGTTGTTACACAGCAATAGAAATTTGTACAAACAGCTACCAAAATGAGTGTTAGTAGGAAACATCCAGAATGAGTAAATCCATAGGCACAGAAATCATATTAGTATATTAGTCAGTTACTGCCAGGGGCTGAAGGAGGGGGGAGGTAATGGGGGAGCAACTGCTAAAAGGGTGTGGGGCTTCCACTTGGAGTGACGATAATGCCTGGGATGAGATCATGGGGGTCATGGCCCAACACTGAACGTACCACACGTCGCTGAGTCATACACGTTACAATGGTGAGTTTTATGTGTGTTTTCCCGCAATTTTTAATATTTTTATTTATTAAATTCTCATCCAAGGATATGTTCATTGATTTTTTTTAGAGAGAGAGGGAAACATCAATGTGAGAAACATCAATCAGTTGCCTCCTTTCGGCACCCCAACTGGGGATCAAACCCACAACCTTTTTGGTGTATGGGATGACCCTCTAACCAACTGAGAGCCATTCGGCCCAGGATTGACACAGTTTTTCAAAAATTGAGTTACAAAGGGAAAAAGGAAGGGCTACTGTGAGCATTGCCACTGATGGTGGATGCAGAATCTGCTGTGTGGTGCACAGTGAGGCAGGTGCTTTAAAGCAGGATCTTACCATGTTTTCACCAAGAGGTGGGATTGTTGTCCTCAGTGTCCAGGTAAGGAAACAGGCTCAGTGGGAATGTCACTTGCCTGGGGTCCCACAGATAGTTATAACAATGATAGCTTCCAGGTACTGAGTGCTTACAGCACACCTGGCATTTCCCCCATCTTTCTGTGGCTATGAGTTCATTAAGCCATCCCATTAATTCTGTGAGGAACTTCAACTTATTTAGGGCATGGGAAGTGTCCTTGCAAAGGCAACTTGGGATGAGGTCCCATGGCCAGAGAAGCATAGACAAGCCCAGACTGGGTTCTCCTGAAATATACAGGAAGGGTTGGAGCAGAGGAAGGCAGAAGCCTGAACCATTGACACAAGTACAGGAGCAGTGGAGAGCCTGGATGGAGCAAGAGGCTGATGGGAAACTCACCAGGGCAGGAGAGCAGCTCGTCATACTTGTAGATGCATCTGGGAGAGAGAAGATTCTGCCGTTGGTTTGTGCCCAGGACTGAGGGGTCAGGCCTGCACATGTGCGCAGCTACACACATGTACTCTCACACAACACACACGTGAATGCACTAATGCATGTATGTATGATACAGCCACACAAACCACACACATGCACAAACAGCATACAGATGCGTACGCAAAAGCACACAGATTGTACTTGGGCTGAATGTATACTTGTGTTCGCATGTGTATGTACCTACCTGCACACTACATGTGCAGACTCACATGCATACAAACCTCTTGTGTGCACACACCTATACATGCATCACATATTCAAACACATTTAAACACAGACCCCACACTACTACCTTCTTTGCCAGGTTGATTACCTGTCACAACTTCAGGGTTCTTAGAAGAGTGGGAGCTGAGAGAAACAGAATGAGGCATTGGAGATTAAGAAAGGTAGAGAGAGAAAAACAAGGTCACCACCCCAGTCTCTCCACCTAGTCCCAGCTTGGATGCCCCCCTCTCAGGTCTCCAAGTCACCCTGTGCTGTAGAAGGTAGGACTTGGAGCCAAAGAGAAGGAAATGGTTGGGAGAAAGAATCCAAAGAAAGGACATTGAGATATGGAGGATGGTTGTGAGAAGAGAGAACATGGAGACCTGGGGTGATTGTGGGAGCTGGTCTGGGGCACATGGAAGGTTGACATAACAAAGAAGGGTAAGTCGTCCAGGAAATGGTGAGGGACAAGTTAAGTGTTGGATGATGGGGTGCTTGAGTGGCCTACCGTTTCATCTTCCTGTTACGAGCTGCCCCTGGGGATGGAAAAAGAGAAGGGAACAGATTAGCCCTCTGATGTTAGCTCGGTCATTATGTTTCTCCATTTCCGCCAGAAGATTCACCCACTTTTCTCCTGAACTCACCACAGCAGGTGTATTTGTAGATGAGAAAGGCCGTGAGGAGGAAGGCTGCAAGGAGGAAGAGTGAGGTGAAGGTGACAATGAGGATGATTTCAGTGGTCCCTGGTGAGAGGAGAGCAGGAATGAGGCCCAGTTGATTCCCTGAGACCTGATCTGATGCCTAAATGTATCTACCATTGATTGTGTTTCTGTGATGTGCTGGAAACTCACTACATTTCTTTCGTACTCACAAGGATCCCAGAAGGGAGATAGCACAATGCCCATTTTACAGAGGTACAAGCTGAGGGTTAGGGAATTGAAAGATTTCTCTCAAATACTGAGTAGGCAGAGCCCCAACCCACCACCTCAAAAGGCATTGCATTAAACCACCATCTTCTGGCATCACCAAAATAGAAATATCCCAGCAATATATAGCTTTCTGGGAGCCTCTTCCTGCGTTCGAAGGGCTCCGTGTCCCAGGAGTCTCTCTCTTCTTACCTAGTGTTTCTGCTCTCTTGTCAGACTCTGTTTCATCTAGAAGACAGAATTCAAGTTGCAGAACAACCATCACAACAGTATACCATTAATGTATAATTTTATAATTCAGTATTACCTGCAGATGTGCACCTATATTGTACATGTATAGAAACATGCATAGAAATGATGCCACTAAGATCAGAGTGAAGTTTCTTTTGGAGGGGGAAGGAAAGGGACTTGGTTTGTGGGAAGAAAACAACATTTAGCAAATGTGACTAAATGTGGACAAGTATAATTCTGGGTGGTGACGAATAGCTATCATATGCTATTCTGGTTTTTTTTTCAATTTTTGAAAAAATTGAAAAGCAGTTTTCAAATTTCTCAAAAGGAAGCTCTTAAATGTGGGTTATATTAGAAATAACATATTTTATCCCATTGGTTATATTTTTCTGGAGAGTCTAATACAGCTGGGAAGAAATCTTTTTAAAGTCGGATAAGGCTGCAGTTCCCAGGACAAAGGGAGACTCTTGCCAATTTTCCATAGTGCTTCTGAGGACAAAACAGTAAATAACCCAACCTAACATGTTTTTGGTGCCTAACCTTTCACCTTCCCCATAGCCATGTAGCTGTTTTGTAATTCTGTTGTGCAGAGAGGTTGGAATAGAGGAAGAGTGGACTTAAAAAAAAGAAAAGTAAAGTTCAAAGTGCTTACTCAAATAGCATGGGGTCACATGACTGTGAGTAGCAGAGTGTGGCTGGGACCACATTCAGGCTTCACTAGCTCTGCTGAGGTGACACCACATCACTCTGCATTGCTTCTCCATCCCCACCTGTGGCGTCTCTACCTTGGACTTCACCGAGTAGGCTAAGTATACTCTGAGACCCTAGAGCTCCCCTCTTTCTCCTCTTACTTCAAAGAAGGGAGTGGCCATGGGGAGTCCACAGTTTACTTTCAGCCATGTATTTCCTCTGTTTCCTGTGACCCCTGCCTTCACTTCTTCACTTCCCTGTCCGACCAGCCTTGGTTTCCATCTCAGGCACCGTCAGGAAATGGGGTGCCGTTTGTCACAACCTCCTCCTGTCAGTTGTGTACTGTTTTATGTGGAACCAGGGGCCACATTGAGCTGGTTCAAATTCAGAAATGATAACTGGAAAATGAGACAGATTGAACTTTGGAATAAAGGACCTTCAAGTGGCCTTGAAGACCAGTGATGCTGTTTGTTGGCAAATATTTCTTGAAAAGCCACTGACTTGGGGCACATATTTGAGGTGATTAGAGGCCTCAGGGATTGGAGGAGAATATGTTGTCTACCCCCAAAGTGCCTGCCAAGAACTCTGGTGTCTAACTGGAAACTAGACAGTGGGTTTCCTCCAGGATTTCTCAACTTTTGCATTATTGACACGTAGAGCTAGATGATTCTTTGTGGGAAGGGAGTCCCGTACATTGTAAGGTGTTTTGCAGTACATCTGGTCTCTACCTCCTAGATGCCGGGAGCATCTCCACATCCCCAGCTGTGGCCACCAAAGATGTCTCCAGACATTGCCATTTGTCACTGACTTGAGAACCAATGGTTTAGGAAAATGAGGAATAAGGTCAAGGTCAGTTACTTGTCTTTCCTTTCTGTCAGGACTTCTGCCACCCACTGGGCTCTCTCTGCCTCCTGCCTTGGCCAGTTAGATAACCTTCACATTTCTGCAAGTTCAACACATTGGTGTAGCAGCAGGCTTAGAGTTCTGCTCCTACAACAGCTGCGTGAAACTGAGGGTTTGTAAAAGGCCCTGGTGACACCAGAAGCGCAACTCCTGGGCCATTTTCAGTAACCATCTGTCATCTGCCCTCCAAGCACACCCCTCTGCCATCCTCCTTTTTTCCTCAGCCTGTGGCCCTGGTGACGGTTGCCAGGTCTTGGGTCATGGCTGAAGGAAAACAGGAAAGGTCTAGGTTGAGGTTCATAACACTTGCCTGGGCACCTGTTACATCAGCATATTCATGTAAGAAGCAGCAGCAGTTATGACCATTGAGGAAGAAAGCCATAAGTCCCCTCATATGCCATGAATACATGGAAGAATGGGAAAATCTATTAGTCACTGGTTGTTGAATAACCGAAAACTTTAAAATGAAAGTTCCCTTTTCTATGGGGAGCGGGTCCAACTTACTATGTCTTTCTTCCCATTTTGCCTCTCTATCATCACTTTTGGAAAAGACCACCTCATCTGTGCTTCAGATGCAATTACACTGAGTTAAAGAGACAGACAGACATATACCCCTGGCATTTTTAGAACCTGGAATACCTTAAATGTCATAATTTCCCACCAGTCTTTGTAATTAGTAGTAATGATAAGAATAGAGTATTTACCATTATTATGAGAGGGATACATTTTTTTTTTTAGAAAGAGAAACATTGATTTGTTCTACTTGTTGATGCATTTATTGGTTGCTTCTTGTACGTGCCCTGATTGGGCATTGAATCCACAACCTCGATGCATCGGGATGATGCTCTAACCAACCGAGATGCCTGGCCAGGAATGTAGTTCTCGGTAGAACTGTTTTGGAATTCAGAGGGAGAAGTTTTGGGTGTTCATAATGATAGTAACAGCAAATATGAATGTGGTATTTGCTATGCACCAGACACAGGTTTGGAAAGGATTTTGGTAAAATGACTCATCAGAATCTCATCACAAGACCATTGTGTGGGTGCTACTTACTGTCAACCCCGTTTAACAGATGAAGAAACTGAGACAGAGAGAGGCTAAGTAATCTGTAGGAAAATGTGTTATCACTTACTGGGCCCAGCTAAAATCCAAATGGCTGTAATTAATTTGCAAAACAAAACTCCCTTTATAACCTTCCAGCCCATGGGGCCGTCTGCCTGAGTGATGGGTGCCTGTTCCTTGCTCAGATGGTTCTGGTGGTTTGAATGTTTTGCCCCAATTATCTGTCCCTGAAGGGGACATTGACTACCTTTACACTGACCTAGAAAACAGAATGGAGTGGACAAATGGACCACAGAGCAGGAAAGACACCCCAAAGAACATGACAAGGGGACAGGGTGTTCTCTGAGGACTCTTCTATAAGGGCCCTCATGTCAGGCATGAGAGCTCCACCTTCATGACCCACTCACCTCCCAGAGTCCCCACCTCCCAATACCATCATGTTGGGACACTAGGAGTTCAACATACGGATTTGGTATAGGGGTTCCTCAAAAAATTAAAAACAGGCCCTGGCATGTGTGGCTCAGTGGATGGAGCACGGGCCTGTGAACCAAAGGGTCATTTGTGTGAGTCCCAGCCTGGGCACATGCCTGTGTGGCGGGCTAGGTCCCCAGTAGGGGGCGCGCGAGAGGCAACCACACATTGATATTTCTCTTTCTCCCCCCTTCCCATCTCTAAAAAGAAATAAAAATTAAAAACAGAATTCCCTCTGATCCAGCAATTTCATTCATGGATAGTTACCCAGAAAAATTAAAAGCAGGGCCTCAAGGAAATATTTGCACACCCATGTCCATAGCAGCATTATTCACAATAGTTGAAAGGTAGAAGCAATCCAAGTGTCCGTAAGTGAACTAATGTAAAAATAGAATGTGATCTAGCCATACAGTTGAACATCATTCAGCCTTAAAAAGGAAGGAGCCCTGGCTGGTGTGGCTCAGTGGATGAGTGCTGGCCTGCAAATCAACAAGTCGCTGGTTCGATTCCCAGTCAGGGTACATGCTTGGGTTGCAGGCCAGATCTCCAGTAGGGGGCACTAGAGAGGCAACCACACATTAACGTTTCTCTCTTCCTCTCCTTCCCTTTGCTAAAAATAAGTAAAATCTTTTTAAAAAAAGGAAGGAAGGAAGGAAATTCTGCCCTGGCTGGTGTAGCTCAGTGGATTGAGCGCAACCTGCAAAGCACAGGGTTGCTGGTTCAGTACCCAGACAGCACACATGCCTGGGTTTGGGGCCAGGTCCCTAGTAGGGGGTGCACTCGAGGCAACTACACACTGATGTTTCTCTCCCTCTCTTTCTTTTTCCCTTCCTCTCTCCCTAAAAATAAAAAATAAAAATAAAAACAGGAAGGAAATTCTGATGCACAACAACATAGAGGAACCCTGAGGACATTATACTAAACAAAATAAGATGGTCACAAAAATATACTGTATGATTCCACTTCTGTGAGGTGTCTAGACTAGTCAAATTCATACAGACAGAAAGTAGAATGCTGGGTGCCAGGAGCTGGGGGAGTGGGAATGGGAAGGGGTTGATGGAGTTTCAGTTTTAAAGATGAAGAGAGTCCTGTGGGTGGATAGTGGTGACTGCAGCACAACAGTGTGGATGTACTTAACACCACGGAACTGTGCACTTAAAAGTGGTTAAAATGCTAAATTTTATATTATGCATTTTTACCCCTTGTAAAAAAATCATCCCTTAAAAGAAAGTCTAGGCAGGAAAAGAAGACCTCCACTTGGTTGAGCTAAAAGGCATGACTGGTAGATGGTGAACATAAAGCAGACCTTTTCGGAGCCTCTCAGTCTGTCTGTAAAGGCATTAAAGTTCCTATTGCATAAGTCCGTGGGATGTCATTCACATTTTAGTCTAAATGAATTGTGTCCTGCCAGGAGGTAGGCAATAACTTTGTGGCTAGATCTTATTTTCTAGCAGGGTCAGCTATTACAAATCCACCAAGCCTCCTTTCCTGTGATTCCCCACCACTCACACTCCCTCTGTTAGCAGAAGATCCTGTCCACTTTACCACATGGTACTGGCCCTAACTTCCTTATTCCCAAGTGATTTTTTCCCCAAGCTCCAGAGTTTTCTAGGGACAGAGCCTCCCTCTGATATACCCCAGGTGGCAGATAATTCAACTGTTGTCCTTCTCATGGTAAAAACCTTACCTGTCACCCAGATCTCAATGTGATCACTGGGCTGTGAGGCCCAGAAAGGAGCATGTGGTTGGTAGAACACACAGCTGTAGTTCCCAGTGTCACTGACTGTCACACTTTGAAGGGAGAAGTCTGTCTCCTTTCCTCTTTGACTGTGGAACTGTATGGGTATTGGAGTTCCTTTCTTCAGCAGAGCAAACACGTGTGAATCAGTAATATATCTGGGCTTCTGACACTGCAGGGTCACGTTTTCTCCTGCAGTCACATTGCCCCTGTGGTGGGCTCGGAGGGAAGGTTTATCTAAATTCCCTGTGAGAGAACAAAGGCTCAGAAGTCATGGGAGAAGCCTTGGGTGCCCCCTCAGCCTTGCTGTCCTTGCAGGATTCTTAGGGAGTGTGGGAAGTGACAGTCACCTGATCTCACCCTCTTTCTCCTCTGACTCCAGGAAGTAGGTTTCCCTCCTACAAGCCCTGGATGAAGCCATGGTCCTCAACTCTGTTCCTGTCTTTCCCATCACCCCTCCCCATCTACACTGGAGATGAGACTCCCTGCCCCACTTGCCTCCTCTGGATGCCCCGTCCTCCCTGTCTTAGGAAAAGCGTGTTTCATTCTGAGCACCCCATTCTCACCTGTCACCACTAGTAGAAGGACATCACTGGATGGTGACCTTATGCTGGGGCTTATACTTCTGTAATATTCACAGGTGTACTCTCCAGCATAACTGTATGGTATGTCAGTGAAGTGAAATTCCACAAGGCCCTCCGGGGAATCAGGAGATAGTGAGGACCTCACATTACCTCCTTTTTTTTTTAGAACAAAGTTGACCTCCTTGGTAGGAGCTGAGCATTGCAGTGTCACCTTACTGTTGACAGGAACCACCCAGCTGGGCCAGGCACTGATGGAGGGCCTGGGAAGTGACTCTGGAAGGAAGCAGAGTCCAGGGCTGGGTTGGATTTGCTCACCTGCTGTCAGCAAGCCCATTTAAAGAAGGGAAAAGGGTCAGGGGAATTTGGAGTGAAGAGAGGGAAGGTTTTGCTGTGGAAACACTCACCATGATCTCTCATGTCTCCCTGGCCAACATGCAGCCCTGCAAAGGAATCGTCCATGAGATGTAAGCACCTGCCTGGAGCCCACATTGTTGCCCTGCCCTGGTCCCCGAGGTACCATCCAGGGCTTTTGCCGAGAACGGATTCCTCATGATCATACTCCCTAGCAGTTCCAGCTTCCTCCTTGAGAACCCAGTTGGCATCAGTGTCAATTTGCAGCTAATGTTTCTTTCCTAGGGCTGCTGTAACAAATTACCACACAGTTTCTGGCTCACAACAACACAAACGTATTAGAGCACAGTTTGGTTCATGAGATAAATCCAGCATAGATCTCACTGGCTAAAATCAGGTCGCATTGATTTTAATTATTGGTTAAAGTCAGGGTGAGATAGATAGATTGATCTATCTCACATGTTCTTTAGCCACTCATCCATTGATGGGCACTTAGGTTGTTTTTCATTTTTTCACCATTGTAAATAATGCTGCAGTGAACATAGGGGTGTAGATCTCTCTTTTTTTAAATCCTTGCCTGAGGGTATGTTTATTGATTATAGAAAGAGAAGAAGGGGGAGGGGAGAGAGAGAGAGAGAGAGAAGAAACATGGGTGTGAGAGAGAAACATCAATCAGTTGTCTCCTGCACACACCCTGACTGAGGATCAAACTTGCAACCTAGGTATGTACCCTGAGCAGGGATTGAACCCACAACCTTTTGGTGTACAGAATGATGCTCCACCCAGATGAGCCACACAGCCAACATGATAGCTCTTTGAGATAGTGTTTTCATGTCCTTCAGCTATATGCCCAGAAGTGAAATCTTTGGGTCCACATGATAACTCTACTTGTAACTTTTGGAGGAACTTCCATAGTGGCTGGGCCCATTTACATTCCCTTTTCTCCACACCTTCTCCAACACTTGGTATTGCGTCTTCTTGGTGGTGGCCATTCTAACAGGTGGTGAGTATTTGTGGCAGAGACTGTGGGGCCCACTGAGCCCATCTGACTGTCGGGCCCTCTGAGTAACAAGTGGCCAGCACCTGCGGAGATCCTGGGATTCACTGTTCCCTTCCCAAGGTTTTCTGAGCTATGACTCCATTCAGCCTCCAAATATTTCCTCCCCAAGTTCCCCCAAACTTGTTCCCGGGATGACCCTGTGGAAAGTTGGGGTCATTGGAACTGTGCAGACCAGGCTTTCAGTTCTGCTTTACCCAGTAGCCAAATGCTTTCTGTGTCACATCAGCTGTCACTCTCAGGATCCTTAACTGGCAATAGGAGGATGTGACTATTTTGCAAAATTTCTCTAAGGCAAGTAACATGACTTGAGGTCATACAAAGACACAAGATTAAGTAATACTGATTTTGTGAGAAAGTCATTCTCTTCTTGTTCTGTCTCTGTCTTTATCATGGAGGAAGGACTACTGCTGCCAGGTGTGGGTTTCCAACCCATTTTTTTTATGTGTTGATTTTTGAGAAAGGGAGGATGTGAGAGAGACAGATGGCAGAGATCGATTTGTCGTTCCACTTATTGATGCACTCATTGGTTGATTTCTTGCATGTGCCCTGACCAGGGATCAAACCCACAACTCTTGGTGTATCGGGATGATGCTCTAACCAGCTGAGCTACCCAGTCAGGGCTCCAACCCATCATACTCACTTTCATCTCTTAGGGAAAAAGAGCAGGGTCAGGGCAGGAATGTGGCCCAGTGTCTACAGTCAGGCAGCCGTAGCTACTAGAGCTTCATTATGTTATTTCCCCTGCTTACTATAAACCGACAACTGTATTGTGTTTTTGACGAGTTACACTGACTTTCTATTAATAGAAGTATCTTATACTACTTTTCAAATTATGTTGAGCCCTGGCTAGTGTAGCTCAGTGGATTGAGCTCTAGCCTGTGAAACAAAAGATCACGGTTCAATTCCCAGTCAGGGCACATGCCTGGGTTGCAGGCCAGTTCCCAGAGGGGGACCCATGAGAGGCAACCACACATTGATGTTTCTCTCCCTCTCTCCTTCCCCTCCCCTCTCTCTGAAAATAAATAAATAAAATATTTTTAAAAATAAAATAACGAGCAAAAAAATAATATAAAAATCTGAAGGAATGTGAAGAAGACTGTCACTTACATGAAAGAATATAGACGTCACATACATCTCGCAAAATGCCATTGGGAAGCTCAGGAATGACTGAGTTTGGGAAACAGATCGACAGGGAAATGTGTGTGAAGCCCCCTGAGAGTCTGTGAAACACTCTCAAGTCACTTCCCCCAGGCTGGACTGAGCACAGAGTTCAGATCACCCAGTAGAGGCTAAGGGCTGCTGACAGGTATGCACAGTATGTGAGAAATTGCTCATCAAATTGTGTAACCATTGTCCCCTTGTACACAGTGACGGAATTCAGCAGGACCCAGGGCCATCAGAATCAGACACATTTCTGGTATGCAATAGTTATCCAAGCGATGACAGCTTTTGCCCCGGCCAGGTAGTTGAGTTGTGTGGAGCGCCATCCCTTGCCCTGGCCAGGTGGCTGAGTTGTGGAGCGCCATCCCACCCACCAGATGTTGTGGGTTCAGTCCCCAGTCAGGGCGCAAACAGGAACTGATCCATGTTGCTCTCTCACCTCAGTGTTCTCTCTCTCTCTGTCCCCGCCTTTCCTCTTTCTGTAATCAACAAGCACATCCTTGGGGTGAGATTTTTAAATAAGAAAAGAAATTAGAGCCCCAGCAGTTGTGCTTCTGTGGATTGAGCACCGGCCTGTGAACCAAAAAATGGCCACTGGTTTCATTCTTAGTCAGGACACATACCTGGGTTTGCCGGCCAGGTCCTTGGTGGTTAGGGGTAAGCAAGAGACAGCTGATCTATGTCTGCTTCCAAATCAATGTTTCCCTCCCTCTCCACTCTCCCTTCCTTCCTCTCTAAAAAGTAAATAAGTGAAATGTTTTTAAAAAATTGAACTAGAAATGAAAGTTTCTGTTCTTTGCTTATCCTTCTGAAGCCATTACCTACCCCACAAGTTGCAGCAACACCAGCTTCCTCCACAGCCTGCTCACCACCACCCTCCTTGGCCCCTCGCCCCTCCCCCATATTTACCAACACAGAACAAGGCCAGGGACGGCAGGATCATCGTGGCCCCCGAAGCCTCTTCCCAGGATCTTCCTTGAATTTTGCTGTTTGTGGTAAGTCAAATGGTCTCCTGACTCCTTGATTCACTGTAACAGCTTTGTTCCGCTTTTGATCCTCTGCTGTTACATACACACAGTCCCTGCCTCCCAGCCTCAATCAGGAAATGATGACTTTTTATTGCAACACACTCTCAAGTCACTTCCCCCAGGCTGGACCCAGCACAGTTCAGATGGCCCGGTAGAGGCTGAGGGCTGCTCACAGATACGCACGATATGTGAGAAATTGCTCATCAAATTGTATAACCGTTGTCCCCTGTTACACGGTGGCAGAAGTCAGCAGGACCCAGGGCCATCAGAATCAGAACTCCATTTCCCTCTTGTGGTGGTGTCTCTGGTCAACAGGGTGTGAGCGGAAGTGACGTGTACAAGTTCTGGGTTATGCCTTTGGGAGCATGGGAGGGTGGAAGTGGGTACTGAGCTCGTAAGGATGAGGTGAGAAGTTGTAGGGTGAGGGATCCCAGATGGCAGAGAGGGCTGGGTGGAAGCTCCGCTCACCTCCCTCTCAGGAACAAACTGACATTACAATGAACCTAGAGAACAATCGTCCTGAGTAACAAACTGAGGACGAGCTGGAGAGAAGCCTTATAACCAAGGACTTACCAGAGAAACCACATCAAGACTGGGAGGAAGTGCAGAGGCATAGGGGGCTGGCTGGGCTCCACAGGAGGCAGATGAGATTCTGGGGAGAGATTTCAGTTGCTGGCAGGGAGGGGGGAGGAGGGTTCCCCCTGAGAAGGGCGGGGTCCAAATTCCAAGTCTGGCTTCCCCAGCCTAAGAGCACCAGAACTGGGAAAGGCACCCACATAACGTCCAGCTGTGAAAAGCAGCGGGGTGTCTGTCCACCAGGGACAGATGGCTAGAGACATTCCCGGGGATAACGTCATTTTATACCATTTACTCACATTATAAAATGCCCAGTTGAAAAACAGCCTTCACCCAAGGATGTATTTACTGATTTTAGAGAGAGAAGAAGGGAGCGTGAGAGAGAAACAGCTATTGGTTGCCTCCTGCACACACCCCGAACAGGGACAGAAGGCAAAACCTAAGGATGTGCCCTGACCAGGACTCCACCGGGAACCTTCCAACTAACTGAGCCACCTGGCCAGGGTCTTGGTTTTACTCTTGGGGAAGGTTTGAAGAGGCAGTGAGGGGGTCAATAAGTTGCTTACAAGGGGAACTGGAGCACCATTTTAAAGTGGTAACATGCAAAATTTCATTTGCAGCCACTAGCCCTAGGCTTTGGGAGAGGGAAGGCAGGGCAGGTCCACCAGAGTCGAGTCCGATACTGGTGGCTGTGTGTGCCTGCTGGAGGGGTGGCTAAAAAGCCTGCTCTGCTGGTCTGTGGAAGTGCTGAGGGGACTGTATGACCTGGGAGCAGCCCTCTAGCAATACCTGCCAGGAGCTGAGACAAAAATACTTCAGCTCCCCTGAGCTTTGGGAGATAACTGTGAAGCGTGTGTTTCTTCCTAGGCTCCCAAGCTTAATCAGTACTAAGTAGCAGAAGTGTCAAGTACCAGCAGCACTAAAATCTCCAGTATTAATCTGCTGCAGTACTAGCAGGATTGGGCTCCAGCAGTAATTGTGCCAGCAGCATTAATTTCCAGCAGTATTAATAGTAGCGGTATTGAGCTCCAGAGTATCATTACTAGTGGTATTGAGCTCCTGCAGTGGTACGTACTAGGATTACTATGCTATACAGTATTAAGCTCCAGAAGTATTGGTATTAAGCTCCGGTGATTAGTGCTAGTAGTATTAAGCTTTGGCAGTATTAGTACTCGCAGTATGAGCTCCAACAGTCTTAAACTCTGGTTGTCCATAGCAGAATCTGGCTTCAGAACTTGTATATTCTCAGTGAAGTGTTTCCCAAATAAACAACTTGAGTTTGAATCCTTATCCTGGGCTCTGCTTCTAGGGGAACCCAAACTGAGACCCGCTAAGTGCCTGAGAAACTCACGCCAGGCCCAGTTCTGCATCCGCAGGTTCAGAGGTGGACTTGCAGCAGCCCGGGTTTGCCTTTGGTGGGAGGAAGGTCTGTCAGGACTGTGCTGACGCCCAACACGCTGTAATGGAAATACTAGTTACTGAAGTAACTCGAGTTGAAGTCTATTGACTGTTTCCTCTTGTGAACTCAGCTTTTCAATGCCAAAGTGTTTCAATACACAGCTACCGTCATCCGATAACAATCTTTTATACGTGTGTGTGTGTATACACACACATATAAACAGAGGCATCACAACAAGAAGACAGCACTTCCTTACTATCCAGCCAGTGTTCGGATTTCCCCAGTGATCTCAGGAGGGTCCTTTCAGTTTTTCTAAAAATCAGAATCCAAATCCTCAAAATAGAGGTCTATGAACTGCATTTGAGAGAGATGCTGATTTAAATGGGACAACACTCTCCATCTCTCTGCTAAAGTAAGAACCCACTGAGCCACAGCTTCTCAGGGGGAACCTCCCCAGCCACTGAACTGTGTTCTCCAGAACTTCGTCTGCCAGCATTCAGATGGAGGAGGAGCCAAGTGCTCCTGTTGCCTGGATGGGGCTCACTTGTCTTGCTGTTGAAAAATTCAGGAAAGTCAGCAAGGCCACCACTTACCTAAGGAAAACCCATTCCCATTAAAGGCATTTCTTTGAAGGTTGTTTTCAAAGCATGTGGTAGGGATTTTTGAGGTCTTGAGACTCCTGTAAGACCCTTTTGTGTCAGTAACACTTCTGTGTGTAGATTTATTTAAATAGAAAACAACTTAATGTCATGAATATTCACCTAATTGTCCATGTTGCCCCAGAAAAGAAGACCGGTATTTTTGGAAATGATTTCAACTTGACACTCTAATGAGATCCCTTAATTTAATTTTCTGGCTCAGATCTTTGTCATTCCTATAGGTGGTTTAAATGTTTTTTATTGATTTGAGAGAGACAGACAGACAGACATGGAAATGTTGTTCCACTCATTTATGCATTCATTGGTTGATTCTTGTATGTTCCCTGACCAGGTATTGAACAACAACACTGGTGCAGTTCAAATAAAGTACATTATTTGTTCAAATAAATTTACAATTTCTTGCTGTTGTTCTTCTCCTTCTGGCACCCCTATGATTCGGATATTGGAATGTTTCAAGTTGTCTAGCAGTTCCTAGGCCGCTCCTAATTTTTTTTGAATTCTGGTTTCTTCTTTCTGTTCTGGTTGGATGTTTATTTCTTCCTTCTGCTCCAAATCATTGATTTGAGTCCCAGTTTCCTTCCTGTCACTGTTGGTTCCCTATTTTGCTGTATTTCACTTTTGGTAGCCTTCATTTTTTCCTTCATGTTGTGACTAAGCTTACTCAGGTCTGTGAGCATCCTGATTACCAGTGTTGCTTAGTTCTTTTTCTGAAGCTTTGATCTGTTCTTTAATTTGGGCTATATATTTTTGTCTCCGTGCACCTGTTAAGTAGTAAAGGGGCATGACCTTAGGTATCCACCAGGGTGAGGCAACCTTCTTTGCTTCATTGTGGCCCTTGCTGTTGGGGAGGGGTCAGAGAGGGAACAGTGCAGTTCATTTGCTTTGCTAAAGCTGCACTTTCCAACAAACTCTCCTGTGAGACTGGGAGTTTCTCCTACTGTGGCAACCCCCGCTGCACTTTACAGCCAACTTTGAGTCTTAGTTTCCGTTCAGCCAGCCCTGCCTTGGCCACGCAGTCCGCCTCATTGCCGTGGGTACTCTCTGCCCAGTACTTGCCAACTGGCTGTCTCTCCTGCTGGTCTGGCTGAATGTTTCTTTAATTCCTTGGTTCTTGGAGTTTCATGCAGTTTGATTTTCTGGCACTTCTTATTGTTTATTGTTTTTAGATTGGTTCCTATGCTCCTTTTGGTTGTGCTAGGAAGTGAAGGGTTCCTACCTACGCCTCCATCTTGGCCAGAACACCCATTTTTAATTGTTTAAGAAAACCCCTTACAGTTTTCTACAGTGGCTGTACCAATCTGCATTCCTCCCAACAGAGCACAAGGGTTCCCTCTTGTCTATGCCCTTGCCAGGACTTGTTTGTTGATTTATTGATGAGAGCCTTTCTGGCAGTTGTGAGGTGATAACTCATTGGGGTTTTAATTTGCATCAATAAATGGTGTTGGGAAAATTTGACAGGTACATGCAAAGAAAAATGAAACTAGACCACCACCTTACAGCATACACAAGAATAAACTCAAAATGGATACAAGACTTAACTATAAGTCATGTAATGATAAAAATCCTAGAAAAAAACACAGGCAGTAAAATCTCTGACATCTCTCACAGCAATATATTTGCCAATGTGTCTCCTAGGACAAGTAAAATAAACAAATGGGACTGCATCAAACTCAAAAGCTTCTGTACCTCAAAAGAAACCATTAACAAAATGAAAAGGGAACTCAACTGTATGAGAGAGCATGCTAGCCAGTGATGCATCTGATAAGGGGTTAATTTTCAAAATATATAGAGAATTTCACAGCTCAACACCAGGAAGACAAACAATCCAATTTTAAAAATGGGCATGGAATTGAGTAGACAATTCTCTAAGGAAGACATACAGATGGCCTGTAGACATGAAAAAATGCTCAATGTGACTTCCGGCCAAGATGGAGGTGTAGGTGGACGCACTGTGCCCCCTTGTACAACCAAAATTAAGGACAACAAAAATTTAGGAACAAAAAAACAACCAGAGTAGAAAAAATTTAACTGTAGGAAGTCCGACAACTATTCATCCAGACCGGTAAGGGCGGAGTTGGTGGCTGGTGAAGAGGAGTCATGGCAGGAAAAAGTGGTGGCTTGTGGAACCAGGTGCACAGGTGGCAGTTGGCAGACCCCAGGCTTGTAGTCGGTGGCTGGCAGATCCTGGGCACAGGGAGGCAACAAGCAGATCCATTGAGGCATGCAAGGAGGCTAGCTGACCGTGGTCACACATTCCTGCACAGATAAATCTGGCGAAAATGGGCAGTGAGACAAACCACGCAACCCAGGGCCCCGGTGCCAGGAAATAAAACCTAAAAGCACCGTGGGGGTTCAAAAAAACACTTGTGGGGGTTGAGATGTTGGGAAAGACTCCCAGCCTCACAGGAGAATTCATTGGAGAGACCCACAGGGTCCTAGTACATACACAAGCCCACCCACCCAGGAACCAGCACCAGAAGGGCCCAATTTGCTTGTGGGAAGTGGCAGAGGACACTGAAATCTGAGAACAGAGCAAGTGCCATTGTTCTCTCTCTGACCCTGCCCCCACATGCAGTGTCACAACCCAGCATCTGGGTTGCCCTGCCCTGGTGAACACTTAAGGCTCCGCCCCTCATATGTAACAGGTGTGACTAGACCAAAAAATTATGGCTCAAGCAGAAGAACAGCTCAAAGCCCCAGAGCCAATACTTCTAAGCGACCAATAGATAGCCAACCTGTCAGATGCACAGTTCAAAACACTGGTGAGCAGGATGCTCATAGAACTGGTTGATTCTGGTTGCAAATTAGGTGAACAAATGAAGGCTACACTGAGTGAAATGAAGCAAAATGCACAGGGAACCAATAATGATGGAAACAAAACTGGGACTCAAATCAATGGAATGGACCAGAAGGAAGGAAGAAACATCCAACCAGAAAAGAATGAAGAAACAAGAATTCAAAACATGAGGAGAGGCTTAGGAACCTCCAGGGCATCTTTAAATGTTCCAACATTCAAATTATAGGGGTACCAGAAGGGGAAGAGGAAGAGAAACAAGTGGAACATGTATTTGAACAAATAATAAAGGAGAATTTCCCCAATCTGGCAAAGGAAATAGACTTCCAGGAAGTCCCAGAAGCTCAGAGGGTCCCAAAGAAGCGTCCTGGGAGGAGCACACCAAGGCACATCATAATTACATTAGCCAAGATTAAAATGAAGCAGAGAATTCTAGAAGCAGCAAGAGATACGGGGACAGTCACCTACAAAGGAGTTCCCATCAGACTGTCAGCGGATTTCTCAAAAGAGACCTTACAGGCAAGAAGGGGCTGGAAAGAATTATTCCAAGTCATGAAATCCAAAGACCTACAACCAAGATTGCTCTATGCAGCAAAGCTTTCATTTAGAGTGGAAGGGCAGCTAAAGCGCTTCTCAGATAAGGTCAAGTTTAAAGAGTTCATCATTACCAAGCCCTTATTATATGAAATGTTAAAGGGACTTACCTAAGAAAAAGAAGATAAAAAATATGAACAGTGAAAGGACAGCAAACTCACAGTTACTAACAACCACGCATAAAACAAAAGCAAACTAAGAGGACAGGTAAATAAGAAGCGGAGTCACAGAAATGGAGATCACATGGAGGGTTAGCAACAGGGGAGTGGGAGGAGGAGAAGGGGGGAGAAGGTACAGAGAATAAGTAGTATAGACAGTAGGTAGAAAATAGATGGGGAGGGCAAGAATAGCATGGGGAATGTAGAAGCTAAAGAACTTACGACATATGGACATGAACTAAAGGGGGGGAATGTGGAGAAAGGGGATGTGCAGGGTGGAGGGGAACGAAGCGGGGAAGATAGGACAACTGTAATGGCATAATGAATAAAATATATATATTGTAAAAAACAAGAAAAGAAAAAATAATATCACTAATCATCAGAGAGACTTATGTTCATTTCAAGTGCGTTTTATCAGCAGCCAAAGAGGCTTATTTGCAGCAGGAGCCATTAGTTTTAGTAATTGAGTGGAAGGGTCAGAAAACTTGATGCCTGAGCATATTTAGAGTCCCCACACTGAGAAGTTCAGCAACAGGTAGGTAAACAGCCCAGAAAGAGTCCCAGTTGTCTCCCGGCACCCCAAGAAGTACAATGTACAAAATAGGCCCCCTTTCCTTATCATATATACAGTGACCCAGCCATGAAGGTAGGATCTCAGCTATAATGATGATGGGAAACAAGGCTCATCCATGATGTGATGGGCTCAACGCAGTGAAAGGAGCAAATGAAACAGAGGACTTACATCACAGAGAATCATTTTTATTATGACCAGAATGTAATTTTCATAAGGAAATCTCAGGAGTTACAAGAGAGGATATAATCTAAAATAGGAATGCACATTTATGAAAAGCAATGTATCAATAAGAAACAACAGATCTAGAAAAATGAAAGTATAATGGATGACATTTTATACCTGCAACAGGACTACTGGGGACAATTCAAGAGCAGATTGTTACTGTGATACAGACTGGAAAAAACTTCAAAGGTGAAAGCTTTATGTGATCTGAAGAGAAAACAGAGTATGTAGTAAAATTTAAAAGATGTGATAAATACATAAATGTTAACATTTGGCCACTTGTAGGTGATGATCACAAAATGGAATGGAGAGGAAGTAATGGGGAAGTCATCTTTCCCCTACTCTTCAAAGGAAGGAGTTTTCACATGGGAGACACTATGTGCTATGCAGCCAGACTGAAGATTTAAGTATTGTTGTCAAATCACCCAAAATGTGTTAGGTGATTCCTTCTGCTCTGTCTTACCATCTGCTCCAGGTGAAGAGCACAGGAAGAGGGACATCATTCTCTTGTTCTGGACTGGCTGAGAGTGCTAGTTCCACAGAGTTGTTAGGATTCAGCAGCCCTGGCTGGATCATCGTGTCCCCCATCCAGGCAGCTGCAGAACCTGCAGGTGGAGAAGGACAGACCTGACATCAAGGGAGGAACAAAAAGGAAGACTTAAAAAAACTCTTCACCCAAGGATAGTTTAAAATTGCATGTAGAGGGAGAGGAAGGGAGAGAAAGAAACACTGATGTGAGAAACACCAATTGTTTGCCTCTTGTACTGGCCCAGACTGGGGATCAAACCCACAACCTAGGTATGTGCCCTGACCAGGAACTAAATCCACCCCTTTTGGTTACAGGATGACGTTCCAGCCAGCTGAGCTACACCAGCCAGGGGCAGGAAGGTATTCTTTCTCACAGCCTTCAAACACAGGTCCTCAGCCAGAAAGATCCACCCATTCTTTCCATCATCCCCAAGAAAGGAAGTTTCGAGAGGTAATATGGATAGTACCTGCTTCTTTTCTTCTTCCACAGTGATTGGGGCTTCAGTTGCTGTTTAATTGGAAAGGAGAAGAGATAGTAAATGTTTTTACCAACGGAACTGTCACACCTGGTGAAGAAAAGTCCTGCCTAAAATTTCATCCATGCCCATAATGCAGAACCAAAATCTTTTTTTTTAAATATTTTATTTGTTTAATTTTGGAGAGGGCAAGGGAAGGAGAGAGGGAGAGAAGCATCGGTGTGTGGTTGCCTCTTGCACGCCCCCCACTGAGGACCTGGCCCACAACCCAGGCATGTGCCCTGACTGGGAATCAAACCAGCAACCCCCTGGTTTGCAGGTCCTTACTCAATCCACTGAGCCACCCCAGCCAGGGCCAAAACCAAAATCTTAATGGTACATACAGGTTGACTGCGACAGTCCATGAAAGACAAAAGTGCTCAGTGTTTCACCTGGATCCACTTGCAGACCCCTTCTGACTCCACCAGGCTTCCACCAGGAAGGCTGCTATAAGAACCATAATCACAGCAGACAGACCTAGTCGGATGAGGGTACCCACGGTGATATCTCTTGATTTGGCATCTGGGGAATCTGAGATAGAGAAGAGGACCACCACTGACATCCCTGTCTCTCAAAGAATCTACCAAAGATGACCCTCATGTGCCCACATGTGTTTTCCTGGGCAGTGGTCAGCTGTACCTTCATTAAAGTTTTAATCACCAGAAACAAAATGTGAAAACAAGAATTTTGTGAGAGTCGTAGCAGTTCTTTGGCTATGTTCTTTATATTTTCTGTCTTGCCTCTATTCCTTCATTTATTTGCTCTTTCAGTTCCAGCTTCTTGCATTTTCTTCGCCCCTGCCTGTTTTTATATGTTAGAATTTGTGTCCAAACAACACAAAGAGCCAGTGGTGCTCCATAGAACACTGCAACTGAGCAGCTGCATTAGAATCTGTCTTCTCAGCATAAATCTTCATGCCGGCAGTGAGCTCAGGAAAAGCTGAGCTTAGTGGCTAATCATCTTGACTATTATATATCCAGCTTCAGTCACAAATGGCTCAACTTTGCCATTGGTCCTGGTTCCGGAAGAGAAGCCTGCATTTGTATCACCCCATCTCAGTCACCCCAACTCGTGCAAACTTCATCTCTGAGCTGAGATCATCAACAACAATAATCTCTGAAGGTGAATCCATGGGACAAGTGGGTAATGACCCTTCTTTCCAGTGATCAGGGAGCTCTCTTCACCTCCGGGCTGGCCATACAGACCTTGCTGTAATTGTAACACATTCACTGACCCTATGGGAAGACTCAGCAGCCGAAAAGAGGGTGTACAGAGCTGAAGCACAGTGTGTCAGTGGCAGGAAACAAGATAATCTCAGACTAATTCTACCCATAAGTGCTGTAAGATTAAAAAAAGACATTGCATTCATTGCCCTAAAGCAAGAGGCGGTGGAATGCCACATTGTGAGAACAGAAGAGACTTGTTGGGAAGAAATCACTATCAAGATCCACCAAAACTAAGAAATGCTGAGATGGTGGAAGGAATGGTGCTTTTGGCAAGGTAGATAATTTTGAAGAACAGCGAGATAAATTGTCCAAGAATACAGAACAATGAAAGGCAAAGGGGTGAAAATTAGGAAGTCTCCAAAGAGGACAGATCAGATATGCTATTTATATGTTTTTAAATTTATTTTTCTCTTACAGTGTACTTCCAGCATTACTTTGTATTAGTTTTAGGTGTACAGCATAGTGGTTAGACAAAGTGGTTCTCCTGGTATTTCCACTACCCACCTGGAACCATCCATAGTTATTACAGTGTTATTGGTTATATTTGATATGCTGTACTTTACATCCCCATGACTATTTTGTAGCTAATAATCTTAAAATTTTTAAAAGATCCTCAAAATCTTGCAGAAACCTTACCTGTCACCCGGATCTCAATGTGATCACTGGGCTGTGAGGCCCAGAAAGGAGCATGTGGTTTGTAGAACACACAGCTGTAGTTCCCAGTGTCACTGACTGTCACACTTTGAAGGGAGAAGTCTGTCTCCTTTCCTCTTTGACTGTGGAACTGTATGGGTATTGGAGTTCCTTTCTTCAGTAGAGCAAACACGTGTGAATCAGTAATATGTCTGGGCTTCTGACACTGCAGGGTCACGTTTTCTCCTGCAGTCACCTTGCCCCTGTGGTGGGCTCGGAGGGAAGGTTTATCTAAATTCCCTGTGAGAGAAGAAAGGCTCAGAAGTCATGGGAGAAGCCTTGGGTGCCCCCTCAGCCTTGCTGTCCTTGCAGGATTTTTAGGGAGCGTGGGAAGTGACAGTCACCTGATCTCACCCTCTTTCTGCTCTGACTCCAGGAAGTGGGTTTCCCTCCTACAAGCCCTGGATGAAGCCATGGTCCTCAACTCTGTTCCTGTCTTTCCCATCACCCCTCCCCATCTACACTGGAGATGAGACTCCCTGCCCCACTCGCCTCCTCTGGATACCCCGTCCTCCCTGTCTCAGGAAAAGCATGTTTCATTCTGAGCACCCCATTCTCACCTGTCACCACTAGTAGAAGGACATCACTGGATGGTGACCTTATGCTGGGGCTTATACTTCTGTAATATTCACAGGTGTACTCTCCAGCATCAGTGTATGGTATGTCAGTGAAGTGAAATTCCACAAGGCCCTCCGAGGAATCAGGAGATGGTGAGAACCTCACATTACTTCCTTTTTTTTTTAGAACAAAGGTGACCTCCCTGGTAGGAGCTGAGCATTGCAGCGTCACCTTACTGTTGACAGGAACCACCCAGCTGGGCCAGGCACTGATGGAGGGCCTGGGAAGTGACTCTGGAAGGAAGCAGAGTCCAGGTCTGGGTTGGATTTGCTCACCTGCTGTCAGCAAGCCCATTTAAAGAGGGGGAAAGGGTCAGGGGAATTCGGAGTGAAGAGAGGGAAGGTTTTGCTGTGGAAACACTCACCATGATCTCTCATGTCTCCCTGGCCAACATGCAGCCCTGCAAAGGAATCGTCCATGAGATGTAAGCACCTGCCTGGAGCCCACATTGTTGCCCTGCCCTGGTCCCCGAGGGACCATCCAGGGCTTTTGCTGAGAACGGATTCCTCATGATCATACTCCCTAGCAGTTCCAGCTTCCTCCTTGAGAACCCAATTGGCATCAGTGTCAATTTGCAGCTAATGTTTCTTCCCTAGGGCTGCTGTAACAAATTACCACACAACTCACAACAACACAAACGTATTAGAGCGCAGTTTGGTTCATGAGATAAATCCAGCATAGATCTCCCTGGCTAAAATCAGGTCGCATTGATTTTAATCATTGGTTAAAGTCAGGGTGAGATAGATAGATTGATCTATCTCACATGTTCTTTAGCCACTCATCCATTGATGGGCACTTAGGTTGTTTTTCATATTTTCACCATTGTAAATAATGCTGCAGTGAACATAGAGGTGTAGATCTCTCTTTTTTTAAAATCCTTGCCTGAGGGTATGTTTATTGATTATAGAAAGAGAAGAAGGGGGAGGGGAGAGAGAGAAGAAACATGGGTGTGAGAAACATCAATCAGTTGTCTCCTGCACACACCCTGACTGAGGATCAAACTTGCAACCTAGGTCTGTACCCTGAGCAGGGATTGAACCCACAACCTTTTGGTGTACAGAATGATGCTCCACCCAGATGAGCCACACAGCCAACATGATAGCTCTTTGAGATAGTGTTTTCATGTCCTTCAGCTATGTGCCCAGAAGTGAAATCTTTGGGTCCACATGATAACTCTACTTGTAACTTTTGGAGGAACTTCCATAGTGGCTGGGCCCATTTACATTCCCTTTTCTCCACACCTTCTCCAACACTTGGTATCGCGTCTTCTTGGTGGTGGCCATTCTAACGGGTGGTGAGTATTTGTGGCAGAGACTGTGGGGCCCACTGAGCCCATCTGACTGTCGGGCCCTCTGTGTAACAAGTGGCCAACACCTGCGGAGATCCTGGGATTCACTGTTCCCTTCCCAAGGTTTTCTGAGCTATGACTCCCTTCATTCAGCCTCCAAATATTTCCTCCCCAAGTTCCCCCAAACTATGACCTTTTAAATTTCCCAGGATGACCCTGTGGAAAGTTGATGTCATTGGAACTGTGCAGACCAGGCTTTCAGTTCTGCTTTACCCTGTAGCCAAATGCTTTCTGTGTCACATCAGCTGTCACTCTCAGGATCCTTAACTGGCAATAGGAGGATGTGACTATTTTGCAAAATTTCTCTAAGGCAAGTAACACGACTTGAGGTCATACAAAGACACAAGATTAAGTAATACTGATTTTGTGAGAAAGTCATTCTCTTCTTGTTCTGTCTCTGTCTTTATCATGGAGGAAGGACTACTGCTGCCAGGTGCGGGTTTCCAACCCATTTTTTTTATGTGTTGATTTTTGAGAAAGGGAGGATGTGAGAGAGACAGATGGCAGAGATCGATTTGTCGTTCCACTTACTGGTGCACTCATTGGTTGATTTCTTGCATGTGCCCTGACCAGGGATCAAACCCACAACTCTTGGTGTATCGGGATGATGCTCTAACCAGCTGAGCTACCCAGTCAGGGCTCCAACCCATCATATTCACTTTCGTCTCTTAGGAAAAAAGAGCAGGGTCAGGGCAGGAATGTGGCCCAGTGTCTACAGTCAGGCAGCCGTAGCTACTAGAGCTTCATTATGTTATTTCCCCTGCTTACTATAAACAGACAACTGTATTGTGTTTTTGATGAGTTACACTGACTTTCTATTAATAGAAGTATCTTATACTACTTTTCAAATAATGTTGAGCCCTGGCTGGTGTAGCTCAGTGGATTGAGCTCTAGCCTGTGAAACAAAAGATCACGGTTTAATTCCCAGTCAGGGCACATGCCTGGGTTGCAGGCCAGTTCCCAGAGGGGAACCCATGAGAGGCAACCACACATTGATGTTTCTCTCCCTCTCTCCTTCCCCTCCCCTCTCTCTGAAAATAAATAAAAAAAATATTTTTAAAAATAAAATAACGAGCACAAAAATAATATAAAAACCTGAAGGAACGTGAAGAAGACTGTCACTTACATGAAAGAATATAGACGTCACATACATCTCGCAAAATGCCATTGGGAAGCTCAGGAATGACTGAGTTTGGGAAACAGATCAACAGGGAAATGTGTGTGCAGCCCCCGAGAGTGTGTGAAACACTCTCAAGTCACTTCCCCCAGGCTGGACTGAGCACAGAGTTCAGATCACCCAGTAGAGGCTAAGGGCTGCTGACAGGTATGCACAGTATGTGAGAAATTGCTCATCAAATTGTGTAACCATTGTCCCCTTGTACACAGTGACGGAATTCAGCAGGACCCAGGGCCATCAGAATCAGACACATTTCTGGTATGCAATAGCTATCCAAGCAGTGACAGCTTTTGCCCTGGCCAGGTGGCTGAGTTGTGTGGAGCGCCATCCCACCCACCAAATGTTGTGGGCTCAGTCCCCAGTCAGGGCGCAGACAGGAACTGGTCCATGTTGCTCTCTCACCTCAGTGTTCTCTCTCTCTCTGTCCCTGCCTTTCCTCTTTCTGTAATCAACAAGCACATCCTTGGGGTGAGATTTTAAAATAAGAAAAGAAATTAGAGCCCCAGCAGTTGTGCTTCTGTGGATTGAGCACCGGCCTGTGAACCAAAAAATGGCCACTGGTTTCATTCTTAGTCAGGACACATACCTGGGTTTGCCGGCCAGGTCCTTGGTGGTTAGGGGCAAGCAAGAGACAGCTGATCTATGTCTGTTTCCAAATCAATGTTTCCCTCCCTCTCCACTCTCCCTTCCTTCCTCTCTAAAAAGTAAATAAGTGAAATGTTTTTTAAAAAATTGAACTAGAAATGAAAGTTTCTGTTCTTTGCTTATCCCTCTGAAGCCATTACCTACCCCACAAGTGGCAGCAACACCAGCTTCCTCCACAGCCTGCTCACCACCACCCTCATTGGCCCCTCGCCCCTCCCCCATATTTACCAACACAGAACAAGGCCAGGGACGGCAGGATCATCGCGGCCCCCGAAGCCTCTTCCCAGGATCTTCCTTGAATTTTGCTGTTTGTGGTAAGTCAGATGGTCTCTTGACTCCTTGATTCACTGTAACAGCTTTGTTCTGCTTTTAATCCTCTGCTGTTACATGCACACAGTCCCTGCCTGCCAGCCTCAATCAGGAAATGATGACTATTGCAACACACTCTCAAGTCACTTCCCCCAGGCTGGACCCAGCACAGTTCAGATGGCCCGGTAGAGGCTGAGGGCTGCTCACAGATACGCACGATGTGTGAGAAATTGCTCATCAAGTTGTATAACCGTTGTCCCCTGTTACACGGTGGCAGAAGTCAGCAGGACCCAGGGCCATCAGCATCAGAACTCCATTTCCCTCTTGTGGTGCTGTCTCTGGTCAACAGGGTGTGAGCAGAAGGACGTGTACAAGTTCTGGGTTATGCCTTTGGGAGCATGGGAGGGTGGAAGTAGGTACTGAGCTCATAAGGATGAGGTGAGAAGTTGTAGGGTGAGGGATCCCAGATGGCAGAGAGGGCTGGGTGGAAGCTCCACTCACCTCCTTCTCAGGACCAAACTGACATTACAATGAACCTAGAGAACAATCGTCCTGAGTAATAAACTGAGGACGAGCTGGAGAGAAGCCTTATAACCAAGGACTTACCAGAGAAACCACATCAAGACTGGGAGGAAGTGCAGAGGCATAGGGAGCTGGCTGGGCTCCACAGGAGGCAGATGAGATTCTGGGGAGAGATTTCAGTTGCTGGCAGGGAGGGGGGGAGGAGGGCTCCCCCTGAGAAGGGCGGGGTCCAAATTCCAAGTCTGGCTTCCCCAGCCTAAGAGTACCAGAACTGGGAAAGGCACCCACATAACGTCCAGCTGTGAAAAGCAGCGGGGTGTCTGTCCACCAGGGACAGATGGCTAGAGACATTCCTGGGGATAACGTCATTTTATACCATTTACTCACATTATAAAATGCCCAGTTGAAAAACAGCCTTCACCCAAGGATGTATTTACTGATTTTAGAGAAGGGAGCATGAGAGAGAAACAGCTATTGGTTGCCTCCTGCACACACCCCGAACAGGGACAGAAGGCAAAACCTAAGGATGTGCCCTGACCAGGACTCCACCGGGAACCTTCCAACTAACTGAGCCACCTGGCCAGGGCTCTGCCAGGTCTGTCTTGGTTTTACTCTTGGGGAAGGTTTGAAGAGGCAGTGAGGGGGTCAATAAGTTGCTTACAAGGCGAACTGGAGCACCATTTTAAAGTGCTAACACGCAAAATTTCATTTGCAGCCACTAGCCCTAGGCTTTGGGAGAGGGAAGGCAGGGCAGGTCCACCAGAGTCGAATCCGGTACTGGTGGCTGTGGGTATGTGTGCCTGCTGGAGGGGTGGCTAAAAAGCCTGCTCTGCTGGTCTGTGGAAGTGCCGAGGGGACTGTATGACCTGGGAGCAGCCCTCTAGCAATACCTGCCAGGAGCTGAGACAAAAATACTTCAGCTCCCCTGAGCTTTGGGAGATAACTGTGAAGCGTGTGTTTCTTCCTAGGCTCCCAAGCTTAATCAGTACTAAGTAGCAGAAGTGTCAAGTACCAGCAGCACTAAAATCTCCAGTATTAATCTTCTGCAGTACTAGCAGGATTGGGCTCCAGCAGTAATTGTGCCAGCAGCATTAATTTCCAGCAGTATTAGTAGTAGCGGTATTGAGCTCCAGCAATATTATACAAGCACTGTTGAGCTCCAGAGTATCATTACTAGTGGTATTGAGCTCCTGCAGTGGTATGTACTAGGATTACTATGCTATACAGTATTAAGCTCCAGAAGTATTGGTATTAAGCTCCGGTGATTAGTGCTAGTAGTATTAAGCTTTGGCAGTATTAGTACTCGCAGTATGAGCTCCAACAGTCTTAAACTCTGGTTGTCCATAGCAGAATCTGGCTTCAGAACTTGTATATTCTCAGTGAAGTGTTTCCCAAATAAACAACTTGAGTTTGAATCCTTATCCTGGGCTCTGCTTCTAGGGGAACCCAAACTGAGACCCGCTAAGTGCCTGAGAAACTCACGCCAGGCCCAGTTCTGCATCCGCAGGTTCAGAGGTGGACTTGCAGCAGCCCGGGTTTGCCTTTGGTGGGAGGAAGGTCTGTCAGGACTGTGCTGACGCCCAACACGCTGTAATGGAAACACTAGTTACTGAAGTAACTCGAGTTGAAGTCTATTGACTGTTTCCTCTTGTGAACTCAGCTTTTCAATGCCAAAGTGTTTCAGTACACAGCTACCGTCATCCGATAACAATCTTTTATACGTGTATGTGTGTGTGTGTGTGTGTGTGTACATATAAACAGCGGCATCACAACAAGAAGACAGCACTTCCTTACTATCCAGCCAGTGTTCGGATTCCCCAGTGATCTCAGGAGGGTCCTTTTAGTTTTTCTAAAAATCAGAATCCAAATCCTCAAAATAGAGGTCTGTGAACTGCATTTGAGAGAGATGCTGATTTAAATGGGACAACACTCTCCATCTCTCTGCTAAAGTAAGAACCCACTGAGCCACAGCTTCTCAGGGGGAACCTCCCCAGCCACTGAACTGTCTCTCCAGAACTTCGTCTGCCAGCATTCAGATGGAGGAGGAGCCAAGTGCTCCTGTTGCCTGGATGGGGCTCACTTGTCTTGCTGTTGAAAAATTCAGGAAAGTCAACAAGGCCACCACTTACCTAAGGAAAACCCATTCCCATTAAAGGCGTTTCTTCGAAGGTTGTTTTCAAAGCACGTGGTAGGGATTTTTGAGGTCTTGAGACTCCTGTAAGACCCTTTTTGTGTCAGTAACACTTCTGTGTGTAGATTTATTTAAACAGAAAACAACTTAATGTCATGAATATTCACCTAATTGTCCATGTTGCCCCAGAAAAGAAGACCGGTATTTTTGGAAATGATTTCAACTTGACACTCTAATGAGATCCCTTAATTTAATTTTCTGGCTCAGATCTTTGTCATTCCTGTAGTGGGGTTTAAATGTTTTTTATTGATTTGAGAGAGACAGATGTGGATTTGTCGTCCCACTCATTTACGCATTTATTGGTTGATTCTTGTATGTTCCCTGACCAGGAATTGAACCACAGCGTTGGTGTGTGGGGGTGATGCTCTAACCTACTGAACTTCCCGGCCAGGGCACCTGAAGGTTTTTCCCCCCCTTTAAGATGATTTATTTATTTATTTATTTATAGAGGGGAAGGGAGGGAGAGAAACATCAGTGTGTCGTTGCCTCTTACTCTCCCTCTACTGGGAATGCAACCCAGGCATGTGTCCTGACTGGAAATCGAACTGGCAACCCTTTGGTTCGCAGGCTGATAGACAGTCCACTGAGCCACAGCAGCCAGGGCCGAAGGGTCTTTCAATGGCGGTCCCACTATACAGCCATGATTGAATTATTGGTCTTGGTGATTAACTAAGTCCCCATCCCCTCTGACCTCTCCCCTCCCCTGAGGTTCCCTGGGGGCAGTTACTGAAAGCTCTGAGTTTCTTCTATTCAAGCTTTGCTCTTTCGGACCATTGTCCCCCATCCTGAAGCTACCTAGGGGCCACCAAGCAACCTCATGAGGACAAAAGATGCTTCTGTCTTTCCATTTCTCAGGAAGTCCATGCTAGGAACCAGGTCTGTGATACCACAAGAGTCAATCTAGCTGATAGCGGAGCATTTTCATATTCGTCAGCTCCAATCACAGGGGAACTGGGCAGAAAGCCTCACACCTCCTGAGAGGTGTGCCAAGAGGCGGTGACAGCCTGTCTCATGACATCCCTCCAGGGTTGATAAGGTGGGTGGGCAGTAAGCTTGCAGCAGCCCCTCGTGAAGCGCCCATTTTCTCACACTCCTGGGGGATCTTGAAGCACCTGCCAAGACCCAGGTTAGTGGCAGTCCACACCTGAAAGGTTTCCAGGAAGCCTCACAATGGCCTGGATTCTCCACAATTATGCAGAATAAGCAACGGGTGCAATGGACACGAGCTCTCCAGAAGATTTCAGTTGTGGGCTGAAATGAAGTCCTGTCCCCAGCCCTTTAATTCCTGTGTTGAATCCCCCAACCCCCAACATGATGGTGTAAGGAGGTGGGGTCTTGGGAGCTATTTAGGTTTAAATGAGGCCAGGAGGGTGGATTATGAGGAGTCCCGGGGTGGGATGAGTGCCTTTATGAGGAGAGATGACAAAGATCTCCCTTCCTCTCTCCCTCCCACTGACCTCTCCCTCCCTCTGTCCTTGCCTCCCTCCCTGCTCTCTGGCTGGCTTGCTCTCTCTCTCTCTCTGCACCACTTGAAAATACAACAGAAGGCAGCTGCCTACAAGCCAGGGAGAGGGCTCCCCACCAGAACCATGGTCTCGGACATGCCAGCCTCCAGGACTATGGGAAATAAGCTGCTGTCGTTCAAACTGCCCAGTCCGCAGTATTTTGTTACAAAAGCCTGAGTCCACTGAGGCAGATACAAAGGCGGTAACATGGATGGGCTCCTGGCCAGGAGCTGCATGCACCCAGACCAGTGGAGCGGCCACCACCTCAGATTGCTGGTCACTGGCTCAGGGAGGAGAGAGAGCTCGGGGTGGGAATAGAGGGACTGCTCACGATTAAATGCTCCATCCTGGACCGGACACTCATCAGTGTTGTTGACAACTCATTGTCCAGCTAGAACAGACAGCGACAGCCAGAGACTGGAGTCTCCTACTGCTTGTGGGTGGCAGCAGAGCCTCAGGGTTTCCGTGCTGAGCAAGGAACACGATGTGGCCGCTAGGGGGCAGTAGCACACGATGAGTTTTATTGGTGACAGGCTTGCAAGGGAAGTTGCTTACCCAATGAAAGCTTCCAAAGGCATAGACAGGAGCGAGGGGGTGAGAGGTGTCCAAGAGGGGGCTTGTGTCTAGGCCAGTGATTTTCACCCTTGCTCATCTCATGGCACTCATAAAGTCATTATTACAACACACAATTCTGCAGCATCCTGAAAAAAACATTTTTTTGCTGATCTGACAAAAAATATATAATTTTGACTGATTTAATAATTAGCCGTGGCTGGTGTAGCTCAGTGGATTGAGTGTGGGCCTGGGAACCAAGCAACCATGGTTCAGTTCCCAGTCAGGGCACATGCCTGGGTTGCAGGCCAGTTCCCAGCAGGGGACCCATTTGAGGCAACCATACATTGATATTTCTCTCCCTCTCTCCTTCCCTTCCCTTCTAAAGATAAATAAATAAAATATTTAAATTTTATATATTTATATATATGTGTGTGTGTGTGTGTGTATGTATGTATGTATAAAATAATTACCTACCTTTTTTTGCTCCAAATTGGCTTCTTTAAAAAAAATCAGGTGCCTATACTTATGTACAAAGAATTCTGGTACCAAGAATTAACCAGTCAGATGCAGCCTTATGCTGCGTGGCTAATACAGTGCAATTCTATTATATGACCTGCACATTTACGGTTCAAGACAGAGCATTCACACTGGACGGCTGTTGTTGTGTTGGCTGTTGTAATTTTTTAAAGTGACAATCTAAGAGAAAAGCGGTCATTGCTCTTGACTGAACAGTCAAGTACTGCATGTTTTACAAATTCTTGTGGCACACCAGTTGAAAAACACCATCACTCCAAAGGTTTACTTGTTCATAGGGTCTCCCTATGGCTGGCAGCTGTGGGGTGCAACTCCATGGGATATGCAAAGCAGGTAGGTTCTACCTAGTTGATTATTTTTAAATCCTTACACAAGGATATGTTTATTGATTTTAGAGAGAGATGGAGGGAGGGAGAGAGAAACATCCATGTGAAAGAGAAACATTAATCTCCTGTACACAGCCTGATGCAGGATTGAACCCTCAACCTAGATATGTTCCCTGACTGGTGATCAAACCTGCAACCTTTCTGATGTACAGAACGACACTCCAACCAACTGAGCCACCTGGCCAGGGCTCTTCTTAGTCTTAGTATCTGCTTATTTGGGCTTCATGTAAACTAATTGGATATCTGAACATTTGAGTTTGGTGCCCATTGGGCCTTTGGGCCAACAGATTTTAGAAGTGTGCAGGTGGGGCCGACACACGGAGGCCAGTCGGCTCATTTACAGAATGATGCCTGGAGTGGGGGACATTTGGAAAACCTTCTCAGACAACAGAAATGACTCCCACACCGTGTTTCTGAGAAAAAGGCACCCTGGTTTCCACAGGACTTATTTTGAGAACGGTGTTCAAAGTATTTTATTGCTGCATTTCCTCCCTAGAGAAAAGTGAAGTAAATAAATGCTTAATGCAAGTTAAAGGGGATGCAGACCTACACAGAGAATTTCAACTAAGGTTTTTGCAGAAAATGCTTCTTAGACCCTAATCTCCTTGAAAGCCAGGACCATAGTTGTCAGGTTTCCCTCCAGATGACAAGTGCCCAGCACAGGCATTATTATAATGCAACCTGACCAATGCCTCAGCCCTGTCTTCCTGCATTTCTGTCAGCTTTTCAGCCACACTGACCGTCTTTCTAGTGCAGACCTGCAGCGAGGTCAGAATTTCAGTGCTCCCCTGGGAAAAAGATGTGACCATTAGGTGGCAGTAGCGCACAACTTTTAGTCCTTCAGCTCCATCATCACGTTCTGGTTCCCAAGGCGTTTTTGTGGATTCTGGTCCCTCTGCGGAGAGCACCTTCTTCACCTGGTTCAAGTCCCCCCAGCTTCCAGGTCTCACGTCACTTCAGTCAAGCTGTCCAAGATCTCTGAAATCATGGGCTTTCTCCTTTTTTTTTTAAATCAAAGTTTTGGTAAATTAAATTCAACAGTATCTGAAACAGTTAACATTTTATGTCATTGTAATTCACTAATTAACAAACCACGAACATCTCAGTAGGTGCAGTGAAAATATTTAGCAGAACTCAACACCCATGCATAACAAAAAGTCTCAGAAAACTAGGAATAGAAAGGAATTGTGCCGGTGTGATTTTTAAAAATGCAAAAAAAAAAAAAAAACTACATCAAGCAACATAGATACTGGCGCATGATAGAGCGCTATTTCCCTGCGGTTAGAAACAAAAACAGTTTTGCCTTTAGCACTTTTATCCAGTATTGTACTGGAGGTTTGTTGCTGTGGTGGACATAGCTAACGGTTTCCCAGCATCCAAATCTCCCTTCTTCCTTTAAGTAATAGGAAGCCCCTTCCCACGTTTGGAAGGCCACATACTAGAGCCCATATTTCCACAGCCACTTCTGTTGCCATGCCTGGCCATGAGCTAAGTTCTGGCCCATGGGATGTGAGCAGAAGACAGGTTCAAATTCTGGGTCCTATTCTTAATATTGTGTGAGTGTGTATCTCTCTTTCCCCCTTCTCTCCTTTCCTACTGTCTCAGGAACATATCAAAGCTACATTTTTAAAAATAAAAGTAAAGCTGTTGAGCCCTGGGCTGGTAGTTCAGTTGGTTAGAGCAACGTCCTGATACACCAAGGTTGCAGGTTCAATCCCTGGTCAGGGCTCTCAGAAGAATCTACCAATGAATGCACGAATAAATGTCACAACAAATCAATGTTTCTTTTTCCCCCCTCTCCCATTCTCTCTCAAAAATTGATAATTTTTTTAAAAAGAAAAGCTGTTGATAAGTAGCCCTAGACTGTTCAACTAGACAGGGTTGAGTGAGAGAAATGAAATTATATATATAAAGAAATTATATATATAAAGTTTTGTTGGGGTTTTTTAAAGAGGAAGCCACGGGGGGAGGGGGAAGGGGGAGAAGCCCAACGGTCTAACCTCACAGACTCTAACCCCAGGTTCCAGGTTAAACTCTTAGAGGGCTGTCGTTGTGGAGAATTTGAAATAAAGTGCGAAATTTCTGGCAGACATAGTGGTGTGGAGACGTGGCCAGTGGTGGAAAGTTCAGTTCCTGCGATGACTGCAAGTCACTCCATGAGCATTCATTGAATGCCTGGTCTTGTGCTGGTCACTAGGAAACTGCTATTTTTGAGACATTGGGTAGATAAATACATGGGTCAGTTGATGGATATCGAACAGGTAAGTCAGTCGCTGAGGGGATTAAGGCATTGATTCATTGATGAATGAAGGGGGGAGTAGGAACCAATGTGTGATCAGTGGGTGAACGAGTAAATGGATGAATGAGCCAGTGAGTGAATACGGAGTCAAGTTGAGGTGCAAACTCCACTTGGCAGCCCCACAGCCAGGTCTGGTTCCGTCTGTATAACCTGGGTCCCCGCCTCTCCCTCGATCTCCCACATGGACATGTGCCAGCGGGGGCTGCCCTGGATATGCCCTGCTGGGATCCCCCCACTGACTGTGAGCAAACCCAGAGAGCTCCCACTCCGAGTCCCCCCCCCCCCACGTCTCCCCGTCTCCTCATCCAGTCAGTGCCCACCGGCGGCTAATCCGACGTCGGAATTCAGTTCTGCTGAAGCTCACATGTGAACACCCTAGTCTCGCACACTGGGAGAAGGTCAATGAGCTGCTTACAAGGTGAATTGGAGCACTGATGGAAAAAAGGGGGAGGGGCACTTCATGTCCTGAGACTCTGACGGAACCACGTTACATCATTGCCAGCGTTTGTTGAGCATTTACTAGTTTTTTGTTTATTTCACATGTCATGTCCACCTAACCCTACGGAAACCCTAAGACGTGGGCACTCACAACGCACCCGTTTTACAGCTACAACCAGGGAGGTTTGGGGAAGGTCACTTTCCTCGTGTCGCACGTGGGTGAGCAGCAGCCCTGGGATTTGAACCCGGGGTTTCCTACTAGGAAGCCTGAACCCCTGAGCATGCTTCCCCCAGATCCGGGAGGTCCTGGGGAATTAACCCAGAGGAAGGGACAGCTCGGGGCCCAGGGTGTCACTACAATACTTAAGAAGCTCGGCCCAGCCAGGAGGAAGGGCTGCAGGGCTCCTGGAAGGGCCAGGCCCACCCAGGCCATCCTGCTGCTTCCCCGCCTCTCTGAGAAGTCGTCTGGGCCGCAGGCGTCAGGATCCAGTCCTCTCGCCTCAGGGTTGGGCACGACTCCAGCTGCGCCAGTCCCAAAGGACCAGCGTGGCCAGGGAGACCAGGACGAGGCCGGCCAGCCCGAGGCGGACCAGGTTGCCCCGGGTGTAGTCCACGGAGCCCGAGGCTGTGGAGCGAAGGGGGCCAGCAAGGCAGGCGGGCGGGCGGTCAGCACCCCCAGCTGAGGTCTTTCGCTCTGCACCGCCCCCCCATCCCCAACGTCCAGGGTGAGTTGGGGACACAGCTCGCCCCGAGTTAAGAGGAGTCGATGGGGAAGGCGGGGGGGGGGGGGGGGCGTGCAGGGGCGCGGGACTTCGGCTTCTGGGTCTGAGAGGAAGGGGCTGGGGCCGGACTCCCGGGTCCCAGGGGTGGAGGGGCTGGGTTGGCGGCCCCTTACCGCCGCCGTCGGGGCTGATGACCAGCTGCTCGCTGCGCTCCGACAGCACGTAGGGCGCGGCGAGCGTGTGGTAGTAGCAGGTGTAGGTCCCCGGGGCGCTCGCGCGGGGCAGCGGGAAGTCGGCCCAGGGCTGTGCGGCCTCCAGGTACTGCAGCGGCGCCGCCTCGCCCACGCGGTACAGCACGAAGCTCATGTTGCGCACGCGACCCGCGCAGCGCAGGCTCACGGTGTCGCCGGGCGTCTCTGCCGGTGCGGAGAGCGCCACCAGGGACGGGCGCGGCAGCCGGGCTGTGGGTGGGAGGAAGGGGACCAGCGTGGGCACCGCCCTGCGCCTCCGCGTCCTCTCTCTCCCTCCCTGTGAGGCCCTTTTCCCTCCGTGCCCGTGCCTACAATTCTCTGTTTCATCTCCCCGCCTCCACAGTTTCACACTCTCTGGGTCTGAAAGTCCCCTGACTTTCTCTTCCTGTCTTTGTGTGTGTCTCTCCCAGGGTTCGCCAACCTGAGCCCCAGGCACATTTTGGATAGGTCTGCATCATTCTTTGTTGTATGGGGTGAAAGGCTGTCCTGAGCGGGACGCAAAGCCCCCTGGTTGAGAATCACCTCTGTCTGTCCCTCTCTCTCTCCCTCTCTTTCCTTTGTGTTGTTGTACAAACCCGTCTCAGTTCCTCCTGCCCTTTCCTCATCCCACTTCTGTGTCCCTTCTTCTCCCCTGCCCCCAGGACCTCACCTGTCACCAGCAGTTCTAAGGCATCGCTGGGCTGGGACCAGACACCCTGTGCCCACAGCTGACTGCTGTAGCGGCAATGGTAACTGCCCGCCTGGGCCTCAGTCACCCCCTCCAGGAAGAATTCTGCCAGCTGCTTCAAAAACACTTCCTGGGACAGCACGGGGGCGGTCTCTCCAGACTTGAAGAGTGCAAACCTCCAGGCAACTTGGGGCGCCTGACATGTCAAGGTCACGTTGATCCCGGGACTCACAACAGCAGCAGGCTGAGCCCGCAGCCATGGCTTGGGGTGTGAGGGTGGGGGCTCTGAATAAACGGGTGTCCTGGGTCCTCGGGCTCCCTGGGTACCTGCAGACACGAAGGGGGAGCTGGGATGAGGGAAGAGCCACCTGGGGCAATCACTGTCCCTTTCTCAGCCTCAGGTCCCTCTTTGTGAAATAGGAAGATGCTGGATGGACCCTCCGTGGACTTGTCAAAACTAGCTGCCAAGCACTGGAACAAGGTGTGAACTCCTGAGCTTTTTTTTAGACCTGATTTACAGGGATTAGGTGCCAGGAATCTGTGATTTTAAATTGCTCTCCAGGACTTCTGGCCAAGATGGAGGTATAGGTGGAGACACTGTGCCTCCTTGCACAACCAAGTTTAAAGACAACAGAGATTTAGTAACAAAAATGCAACCAAAACAGACAATTGAACTGTATGGAAGTCTGACAACAACGAACCATTCAGCCAACCGGTAAGAGGGGCGGAGTCAGTGGCGGAGAGGGGTCACGCAGGAAAAAGTGACCAACCCAGGCGCGGGGTGGCAACGGGCAGACCCAGTGAGGGCACATGGTGGCTGACTGACACACATTCGTGCACAGATAAACCAGGCAAAGGAGCGAGCACTGAGACAGATTGCGCAAACCAGGGGCCTAGTGCTGGGAAATAAAGCTTAAAAGCACCGATTAGAAAAACTTTCCGGGGCCAAGGTGCTGGGAGAGGCTCCCAGGCTCACGGAGAGTTTGTTGGAGAAACCCACAGGGTCCTGGAGGGTGCACAGGCCCACACACCTGGGAACAAGTACCAGAAGGGCCCAATTTGTTTGTGGGAGGTGGCAGAGGGGATAGAAATCCAGGAGAGAGCAGAGGAAGCACCATTGCTCCTCTCTGACTCCACCCCCACATACAGCATCACAACCCAGTAACCTGGGTTGCCCCGCCCTGGGAAACACCTAAGGCTCCGCCCCTCATACATAATGGGCACAAACAGACCAAAACATGATGGCTCAAGTAGAAGAACAGCTCAAAGCCCCAGAGTTAATACTTCTAAGCGACCAAGAAATAGCCAACCTATCAGATGCACAGTTCAAAACACTGGTGATCAGGATGCTCACAGAACTGGTTGCTTATAGTCACAAATTAGAGGAACAAATGAAGGCTAAACTAATTGAAATAAGGGAAATGCACAGGAAACTAATAGTGATGGAAAGGAAACTGAAAGTCAAGGGAGTGGAACAGAAGGAAGAAAAACATGACCAAACAGAAAAATATGAAGAACCAAGAATTCAGAAAAATGAGAGGCTTAGGAATCTCCGGGACATCTTTAAACGCTCCAACATCCGAATTATAGGGGTACCAGAAGGGGAAGAAAAAGAGCAAGTAGAAAGCTTATTTGAATAAATAATAAGAGAATTTCCCCAATCTGGCAAAGGCAGTAGACTTCCAGGAAATCCAGGAAGCTCAGAGAGTCCCAAAGAAGGTGGACCCAAGAAGGAACACACCAAGGCACATCATAATTAGCCAAGATTAGAAGCAGCAGGAGATAAGGGGACAGTCACCTACAAAGGAGTTCCCATCAGATTGTCATTGGATTTCTCAAAAGAGACTTTACAGGCAAGAAGGGGCTGGAAAGAAGTATTCCAACTCATGAAATCCAAAGACTTATATCCAATATTGCTCTATCCAGCAGAGCTTTCATTTAGAATGGAAGGACAGATAAAGTGCTTCTCAGATTCAAGTCAAGTTCAAGGAGTTCATCATCACCAAGCACTTATTATATGAAATGTTAAAGGGACTGATCTAAGAAAAAGAAGATAAAAAAGATGAACAGTGAAAGGACAGCAAAGTTACAGTTATTAACAACCACACCAAAAACAAAAGCAAACTAAGAGGACAGCTAGATCAGGAGTGAACCATAGAAATGGAGGGTTAGCAACAGGGGAGTGGGAGGGGGAGAGAGGGGGAAAAGGTACAGACAATAAGTAGCATAGATGGTAGGTAGAAAATAGACAGGGAGGAGGGCAAGAACAGTATGGGAAATATTAAATCTAAAGAACTTGTGACACATGGACATTAAAAGGGGGGAAGATGAATGGGAGGGGGTGTGCAGGGTGGAGGGGAATGAGGGGGGGAAGTGGGACAACTATAATGGCATAATCAATAAAGTATATATTTAAAATAAATAAATAAATTGCTCTCCAAAAGGTTTATAACATTTCAGAAGTCACCAAACTTGCTATCTATTTGGGGTGTGTGTTTGGGGGGGTTGGATTTCTACCTCAGACCCTTTCCCAAAACAAGTCCCAAATTAATAAAGACCTACATTTTTTTAACAACAGAAGTATTATAAGAAAATATCTTTGTCTTAGGGATAGAGAAAGCTGTCTTAAAATATAAACTAAAAATTCAGAAAGGATATAGTTAGTAAATTTGACCCCTTCAACATTTTCAAGTTGGTTTGAGGGAAAAAAAACAAAAAACAAGTAAATGACAACACTGGCTGAAATGACTGACTTGTAAATCGCACACATACAGAGTAAATCCAGTGGCCCACCCAGCTGAACTCTGGGTAGAGTATGTGGCCAGTCAATTCACAGAACAGGAAGTCCAGTTGACCAGAACACACTTGGAAGTGGTTGGAAGGATTACTCAACTGCTGTAGTAATCGCTTAAGAAAAGTTAAAACAACAGTAAGGTGTTGACTGTCAGACTGTCAAAATGAAAAGAACGGTCAATACTTTGTGTGAGTGAAGATGTAGTAGACACTTAGGCTGAACTTGACTGTGCCTTTCAAGAAGGCAGTCTGTCAGTTTCTATTAAGATACACAAAGGACATGACCAGCATCCCAGTAATTCCATGGCTGCACCTGCATAAACACACACATGCACGAGAAGTTCAGCCCGGCTGGGTGGCTCAATGCGCTGAGTGAGTGCCAGCCTGCAAACCAAAAGGTCACTTGCAAAGTTCAATTCCAAGTCAGGGCACATGCCCGAGTTGCAGGCCAGGTTCCCAGTTAGGCACGCGTGAGAGGCAGCCAATCTATGTTGCTCTTATACATCAGTGTTTCTCTCCCTCCTGTCTCCCTCCCTTCCACTCTAAAAATAAATAAAATCTTTTTTTAAAAAAGTTCACACAGAGCCCTGGCTGGTGTAGCTCAGTGGGTTGAGCACAGGTCTGCGAACCTGAATATCACGGTTCAATTCCCAGTCAGGGCACATGCCTGGGTTGCAGGCCAGTTCCTAGCAGGAGATGCACTAGAGGCAACCATACATTGATGTTTCTCTCCCTTTCTCAGTATTTAAAAAGTTCACACAGAAGCACTAAATATACAAAAGAAAGGGGGGGAGACAAATTAGAATCCAGCCATACAATGGCAAATGCTAGACAGCAGTTTAAAAGGAGGGAAAAAAAAAGAGCTAGGCTAAATGACATGGAAGTACCTCCAACAGAGATCATAAAGTGGAAAATATAAGATGCAGAAAGAAGAGGAAGAACAACATGCAGAACAGTGTGACTCACGAAATAGTGATTTTGCCTTGGCAAAAGAAGAAGTATACAAGAAGTATATAAATACATAAATGTGTTGGAAAGCTTGGACATTTTTTGTAAGGATTCAGAGAAGTTAAGGAAGATATGAGGCGGGGAAGAGAGAGGGTGTTACATGTCCTTCCTTAATGACTGAATTTTTTAAACTATGAATATAAGTTTTATCACTTCAAGATAGTATTTAAAATAAATTGATAACAGGTATTAATGGTTCACTAGGTGGTTCTTATTTGAAGTTAGAGTGTAGTCGGGGGAGGGGGAGGTTTGAGAGAAAGAGGTGATCTCACTATCAGAAAATCTGGAGAAAAATGCAGATCTAATTCAGGATGGAGGACCCTACTTTCCAAATGAGGGAATAATTAGCATTGCCCGATATCCTATCTTTGAGCTCTATGCTATGTCAAATGCTGAGCCCAGAGTTTTACACAGGTGATTTTTATTAAATACAACGCCCATTTCACACAGAAGGAGACTGAGTCTTCACGTGCAGTGGCTTGTTCAAGGTCATAAATGAATAAGACGGTGAAAGTGGGGTTCCTGTTTAGGACCCCCAGAGTTCATGGTCTGGTCTTCACTACCCACCTATACTGGTCACTAAAGGGAGTGAGAATGGACAGAAAAAGTAAAGGAGGAGGAGAGGGAAATAAGGGAATCTGGAGTGAGGGTGGGCACCAAAAATAAAATCTGAGTAGATGGAAAGGGGGTGTCAGCAACATGCAGGGGAATGGATGGGGGGTGTACTCACCCGTCCAAGTGGTGCCTGTGTGACACAGGGACCCTGTAGAAGGTTGAGGAGGCTTGATCTTGTCAAAGCCCTAGGTTGCTCCCAGCCCCATGTCACTGGCAACCCCAGGAATCTAAGTCCCCAGGCCCTCCTTCCTCCAGGAAACAGGAATCTGGGCTGCACTTCCTCCTTTCTTGGTAGCCATAATCCGGACTGCCAATCCCCACCTACTTAGGAAGCCATCAGTCTGGACCCAGGACCCCGTTACCTGTATACTCTAGAGTCCAGGACTTTGGACTCCACCCTTTCCAGGAGACGTTAATCTGAGCCCGCAGTTTCTCCTCCCTGGATTCAGGAGTCTGGGTTATAGCTCCCTCCTTTCCCAGGGACCCAGGTGTCCACCTCCCCACCCACATCAGAATCAGAATTTACACTCCTTGTCTGCAAGAGTTCAGGTCTCTAGCCCTGTCCTGCCTCAAGAGCTGGAGAATTCTACCCCCAACTTCCTCTTCTTGCAGAAACTTGGGGTTCAGGGCTCCTGTGTCCTCTTGCTTTAAGACTCAGGGGTCTGAGCTCCTGTCCTGTCCCGTATTCTAGAGTTCCGAACCCTCAGCTAATGCTGCCTAATCACCCTGCATCTGCCCTCGGGGAGACTCAGCAGTCCTGCCCTTTGCTCGCACTCCCCCGCCTCTAGGCCTCTGGGACCCCCGAGTCTGTGTCCCTGAACTCCAGCCCAGCCAGGGACCCAAAGAGAGGGCATGCGGTGGCTCACAGAGGGTCAGCAGCTGCAGGATCAGCACCAGAGCCATGGTGGGCAGGTCTGGCTGAAGGCGGAGCGGCAGCCAGTACTCAGCCGAGCTCTCTCAACTCCCAGGAAGTGAGGCAACACCAGAAAATCGGAGTCAGGTCTGTGCAGGGAGGGAGCAAGGGGAGGCCCCTGGAGGACTGTGTCACTGCCCCATGGTGCTGTGGGAGAAGTTGGAGTTGGGGCAGTCATAACCCGTGGTGTTCATCAATTAAACTTTAAAAACACTTAGCACCTGTTATGTATCAGACCCCGCTGCGCGATTCTGGGGCACACAGAGGAGTCAGACCTCATTACTGCCCTCCAGCAGCTCCCGGTCTGATGGGAAGGACAGATGCGGACCAAGTCAGTTTTAAAAATAAGTGATGTGCGCTATAATGGAGATCCCATAGGGCAACGTGAGAATCCACAGACGACGAGAGTTAGAGCTTAAGGGCGAGCTGATTTCGAGCTGAGACCTCAAGTGATAGCTCCGTCATTCGTCCTCTCCCAGCCTCCGCTTCCCCATCTGTAAAATGGGCTTTTGTAAGTAGACTACGAAATGAAGACTGTTGTATTCCGCCTTAAGCGTGTTGCAGCAGGAGGCCTGGGCAGTAGAAATTATTCGTCTAGAGCGATTTCTAGGCAGAAAATCGGGCGGCAGCAGGTGTGCCGAGGCAGGCTTGCACTAAAAGCAAGAACGTTGCCTTCCGTCCTGCCACCGCCAAGAACTTCGTTTCTGCGCTAGTGCGCAAGCGCGGACTCAGCGGAGCCTCCGGCGCCGGGACTACAATTCCCAGGGTGCCCCGCGCCGCCGCCGCCACCGCCGTGACCAAGATGGCCGGGAGTAAGTTCGGGTACCTGCGGCGTGTGGGATGCAGGGTGAAATGGGGCAGAGCGGGGCTAGGGCACGGCGATACTCCCGTGGAGGCGGCAGGGTTGGGGCCGGAGGGGGACGCCGAGGTCACGAGAGGGTTCCTCCAGGGCGCTGGTGGAGGAGCCCTCCACAGCAGAGGGTTAGAGGTCACCAGGGGCATTCATTCCCTGTTGGAATGATCTTCCCCACCCACCTCCCCAGGACTCGCCGCCTTCCTCAAGAATGCCTGGGCCAAGGAGCCGGTGCTGGTCGCGTCCTTCACCATCGCGGGCCTCGGTGCGTGAGCGCGAACGTGCATCCCAACCGGCGTCCCCGCTTTACCTTCCCCACCCGCCCCAAAGGTCTCGTCTCCCCCCCTCCCCGGCGTTCTGTCCTTTTCCCGAAGGCCCCCTGGACCCCTTCTACGTTCTGTGTCAACATCCCCACGATGTCTCCTGGCCTATCTCCCCATTCCTGATATTATGACCCCTTCAACAGCCTCATCCTCCCCACCCCAGGGGGGTCCCTAATGCCCCTGTAGGAGAGGATCCTCACCCTGGCTGTGCATTAAAAACACCTAAGCGATAAATAACAATAATAATAAATATCCGCATCCTTCTCACTTGCACCATCACAATCTCCCAGCCACTAATGTGCGACCTGACCGAGAGCCTCTGCTCTGGGACCGGATTACTCATGAACATGTGTTGCGGTCACTTGATTGTGTTTGTGTGTGTGTGTGGGGGCGCTCTTGGTAAAATGCAGGCTTTGATTCTGCAGGGCTGGGCGGGGCCTGGGATACAATATTTCTGACAAGTCCCCAGGTCTTGTGAACGCCACTGGTCTGCAGGTCATTGGGTAAGGTTCTTAGGAGACAGTGGTCCCATAGGCCACCTTGGCCACTCCATTTTTCTTTTTAAATTTATTTTAAATATTTTATTTATTTATCTTTAGAGGGGAAGGGAAGGAGAGAGGGAGAGAAACATCAATGTATGGTTGCCTTTTGTGCGTCCCCTGCTGGGAACTGGCCTGTAGGGAACTGGTCTGCAACCTAGGCATGTGCCCTGACTGGGAATCAAACCGCGATTGTCTGGTTCGCAGGCCCGCACTCAATCCACTGAGCTACACCAGCCAGGGCCTTCCATTTTTCTTATGGTGTGTTGAAACGATGTTTCTGATGTATCAGCTTAAATACATTTAAAAAATTAACCGGTATGTTTTAACTGTAATGTGGCGATTAGGAAATGTAAAATTACACGTGTGGCTCTTATATTTCTGTCAGTGGTGTTTTAGAATGTTCCTATATATGCTCTGCCCGCCCCCCCCCCCCGCCGGGATTCCTGCCTCCCAGCCTAGATGGACTGCTCTGGTACGAGTCCTCTCCCTCAGTTTGTTCTCGATTCCCCCAGAACATTCTGAAGGACACTCCCCCACCCCAGATGCTCAGTGATCACCTCTACACTCCAATGCACTTGTTCCATAACTACCTCCACCTCCCTCTTCGGTGCCCTCTAGGTCCCATGTATCTATTAAGTTTTGGCTCCCAGGCCTATGCAAAGCAGAGGGACCTCCTGGAGGTGCTGTACCTCCTGCTTCCCTCCCCCCCCACAATGCACTCAGGCTCCAAAGTTCAGCTTCTGCCCCTCCCCCTTCCAGAGCCACCTTCCCAGGGCCTCACCCCTGTCTCTCCACAGCTATAGTCCTGCCCATCGTCAGCCCCTACACCAAGTATGCTGCCATGATCAACAAGGTCACACCCTACACCTACCCAGGTGAGTGGGGATCGTATCAACCTCTCTTTGGTTTTTTCCAAGTCTCTAGGTCTGTCTGTCTCCTTGATTGTCTGTGCATCTCTGGCCCTTACTCCCCCCATCTTCTTTCTCCCTGAAGTCCCAGTTCCCTCTTAGAATATAAAGTGACAGACCAGCCTTCTTCGGGGCCCCTTGGAGATCTGCTGGTCTCAGTGGCCCACCCTCCTGTCCTGCAGTGCCCGTCCGAGATGATGGGAACATGCCCGACGTGCCCAGCCACCCCCAGGACCCCCAGGGCCCAAGCCTGGAGTGGCTGAAGAAACTGTGAACACCTCTACTGACCAGAAGGACATCCCCTCCCCTATGGCCCCCAATAAAGATGTGAAAACCGACCCCAGAATTGAGTGTGTGATTATAGGCGGGAGCCAAGACAGTGGCCAAGGAGAGTATGGAGTCTGTATTGGGAGGGGTTCAGTCAAAGGGGGGACTGGCTAGGGTGGGGTAGGGCAGTAGTTTGTCTGGCCCCCGGGAAACCCAGCTTGAGTCCAGGCCCTCATCTGCTTCAAAGCTGAAGTCTTCCTCGACCTTTATCTGGGGGAGAAAAGAGGGAGGTGTGAGTAGGCTTGGGGTCTGGAGAGGACCCTTCAGCCCCACCATTCCTGCTGTCCCAGGCTGGACAGCCTCCTCTCTGCACCTCAGAAAGTCCCAGTGTTCCTGGGTCCACGTGGTGTCCAGATTCTCCAGCCTCCCATCCCTCCTCCTCCTCCCCATAACCTCCTCCAGGTCTTCCTCCTCTCTACCCAAGCCTCTACCCTGGCTTTTCCAGCTCTTCCCTTTCCCTGCATAACCTCAACCCTCCACTCTGCTTCATGTCCTCTCTCCAGTTCTCCTAGCCGGACACCTGCCGTGAAGCCCACAGCCCTGATCCCTCCTCGCCTGGCTCCCAGGCCCCAGGCCTCCCACCTGCACAGGGGCCAGTTCTGGAGTCAGTGGGACTCCCGTTCGACGTCCTTCCCGGGGCGCTCGCCGCCTCTTCCGCCCACTGGGCCCCTCACCAGGGGCCGGACTGCTGGGTTCTGGGGGTGCTGGTGTCCTTCTGGGCGGAGACAGCCCCTCTTTCTCTGGAGGCTCATTCTCAGCATTGCCTGGGGTGGGGGCATCTGTGCCCTGGCTGCCCTCGTCCTGGTGAGGAGACAGGAGGCAGGTGAAGATGGCCCCGGACTCCCGGCTCAGCCAGGCCCCGGAGACCCCACAGACCCTGCGCTCACCTCCAGCATGATGGTGAACTGGCCGGCACGGTAGTCATCGCCGTAGGAGTCCAGCACTCTCATGAGGAACCTGCATCGGGGAGAAGCCACCAGAGGACACCTTCACTTCCTGGCAGTTGGGAAAAGGGGCAGCCACGGGTCCTTGACCTGGAAGGTTTGGAGCTCCAGAGTCCGAGAGACCTGGGTGCCATGCACCTGACCAGTCCGTGGGACTTTGGGCACAGCGAGGTGACCTCTGCACCTCAGTTTTCTTGCTTTGTCTTTGGGAGATGACAACTCCAACTGGGGAGAACTGCTGTGAGAGGGGCCCCACGGCCAGATGTGGTCTGTAACCTGGAGACCGGCGGGATGCTGGTTAGCCAACCTCCGAGGGCAAGTTATTTTCATTAATAACAAGAAGACCAGAGAGAGGAGTGTGCAGACCACCTCCTATCGACTCTGCCTTCTCCTTTCCCTGTTCCTCTTCTCAACGCTTTGGGGTTTGTTTGCTTTTTTTTTTTTTAAAGCTCTAACTGACTAAATGCTACCTGTGAGCCAGCAAATGATAATAGGTCAGAAAGTAGGAGGGAGGACGGATGGCACCTGATTGGAACTTGAAGAGGACAGCGAGGAGGTCTCACTGGGAAGGGAGCGGGTGGCAGAAGAACGTTTCTGGGGGCAGGAACAGCAAGTGCAAAGGTCCTGAGGTGGGTGGGGAGGCCTCTGGGAAGGGCCATCTGATTACGGCCTGGTTGGCTGTGGGAAGGATGTCAAGTGGGACTCCTGAAGGGTTTTGAGCAGAGTAGTGACTTGGCCTAATATTTTATTGTTTTGCTTTTGAAAAAAAAACCACGTATTTTTAAAAAACTGTGGTAGGATACAAAGTTTCCCAATTGACCCATTTTTAAGGGCACAGTGCAGTGGTGTTAGGTAACACACTGTCGTGCATCCATCAGCGTAATCCATCTCTAGAACTCGCCTGACCTTTCCAAAGTGAACCTCTGTCCACAGCTGAACAAGAACTCCCAGGTTCCCCACCCCCAGCAACCACTCTTCTCCTGTTTCTGGTTTGATGACTCACCATGGAACCCTTCAGTATAAGGCCAATTCTTCCCCATCGTCCCGAAGGGGGACACAGAGGGTGGCAGGGCCAGCATCAGATCCGGGGCAGGCTGGCCCCTGAGCTCACACCCGCCCTGGTCCCCTGGTCCCGGTGATCCTAGGTGGGAGGCTCTGAGTCGAACTCACAGGGTGAGCTCCTGTTTGTGAGCTCCTGTTTACTCCTCAGCAGCCTCATGGGTTTGGCATGACTTTTTCGTCACCCGTGGCTGTCAGGAAATGGGGGCTCTGAGAGAAGGTATCGCCTGCTCAGTATCACACAGCAACATGGTGCTGGAAACTGAGCCTGGGGTTAAGGCTGGGGCCCCTTCGTTTGCTTCATTTACCACCCAGCGGGGACACACCTGCTTCCCCCAAGGCCCAGGCCAGCTCTTTCCTGCAAGACCCAATCCCACTCCTGGTCCTTAGGCCCCCCCCTACCCCTCCAGCCTCGCCTCCTCCTGGCCCCAAATGGCCAGCCAGGGAGACAGGGAAGGTGAAGAAATGATGAGAAGCACATGGAAATAAGGTTTGGGAGCACAGGCATGCAAAGGGATTACCTCCGCTCCTGCTGAAGCCTCCGCGTTATCCTCTGTACCTGATGGAGCCTGTTCAGGACCCGCTCGTTCACCTGCGGGGAGGTGGGAGCGCACAGGTCAGCGGGCCAACAATCGACAGAGGGTGAGTGGAGCCCCTGCTGTGACCAGGGAGCCGGCCCAAAGGCAGTCTTTGGACCTTGAGGGGCTGTACTTCCTGCGCCTGCTCCTTCACCTATTCCCACCGCCCCTGCTCCTCTCCCTCCTCCCTTCCCCTCCCCCCCACTCACACTGGCCTCCACGCTGCCGCTGCGACCCCCTGCACACCCTTCTGTCCTGGGGGCTTCACACATGCTCTTCCCCCGAGTTAAATGAGGTCACTGTGGGGGGCCCCAATCCAGTAACTATGGTGGGCATCCTTACAAGAAGGGGGACGTGGGACACACACCACGCACACAGGGAGAATGCCATGGGAAAATGAAGGCAGAGGACCAGGGCACACCAAAGAGTGCCAGCGGACCACCGGACCCCAGGAGCGTGGTGCAGAGCAGTTCTCCCTCACAGCCTTGGGGGACCAACCCTGACCTCGACTTCCGGCCTTCAGAACGGAGCAGCAGTGGCCACTTTTCTGTTATGTGGCCACCTAGTGGGCGGTGCTTGGTTACAGCAAACCAATACAACCAAATTCAGAGTCTTCCCGTTGGACACCTTTCTCTAGCCTCCCCCTCACTGGAGAAAAAAAAAAAAATCCAAGCCTCATGTCATGCTGTTAGTTGTTTGTGGACCTGCCCACTGCTCCATCCTCGTTCTCTTACAAAGCTAATGCAGCGATTCAGCGGAGAGAACCTGAGTCTGGGGCAGGGGCTGTGAGGATGGATGGGAGAAGGACCCAGGGAGATTCAGTGATAGAATAGGGAAGAGGGACGACTGATGCCAGGGGTGTGAGAGACCTGAAGAGCTGGAGCTTTGACCTGTGATCGGTGGGGAGCAGAGAAGCAGCTGTGAGGCATCAGCGAACTGAGCTGGGCTGTCAGGGAAGCTCCTAGAGGAGAGAGTACTCCAGGTACCTTGCATCGCGCCAGGTGCGTAACAGGTGCATAATCAATGAATAATGAATAATGAATGAAAGATTCATCCTGCTAGGCCAGGAAGTTTCATGTGGACAGAAACTGGGAGCAATGGGTGGTAACTTAGACCAGGGGAGCCCGACACGGCATCCGCACTCACCTACCTGCTCGATCTCCCTGCAGCGCCGACCTAGCGCCTGGTACTTCCTGCGGTTGAGTTCACGTTGGCGCCGTTGCTGGCCCCGGGCTGCCTCTTCCTCTTCATCTCGCTCCTGGAGGCTCGAGTTGCCCAGACCCCCAGACACAAACTCCACTTCTGTCTCAAGCTCACTCTCCAGGATGTGACCACCAAACAGCGGAGGCAGCGCCAGCTCCGAGCCTGGCGGCGCTGAGAACTCTTCAAAGCCCATGGTCCTGTAGAGTCAGGAGGCTCAGAGAACTTGAACCTCCGGCTCCCAGCTCCTCCTCCCTCAGACCCTGGAGTCCAGGCCCCCAGCCCTTCCTTTCTAGGGCCCACAATTCAAGCCCCGACACCCTCCTCCCAGGATCTGGGAGTTCAGACCCCAGGCACTTCCTTCTGAGGATCCAGGGAAGATGGAGGCCCAAACCCCTCACTGAGACCCAGGAGTCCAGGTCTCCAACCTCTAGAATCCCAGCCTCCTCCCCCAGGATGATGCTCAAGCACAGACCCCAGTTCCTAAGAGTTATAACCCAAAGCCGTTGCAGGAACTACAATCCCCATCAGCCCTCACAATAAAGCGCGGGTGGCTGCATATTCTCCAGGCGCAGTGTCTTTTGGGACTGACAATTTTCCTCAAAGCCACTTACCCTTCTCTCTGCTCCAGCTCCATTTCGCCCTTGCTCTCGCCGCCCCAGGACTCAGAACTCCAACCTCTCAAATCGCTAGGTTAAGTCGTTCGCAAAACTACCGGTCCCATCGGGCTTCACGGCCAAGCTTCCGTGAAGCTTGGCCTCCTGGGAGTTGTAGTCCCCAATTTCCGGCTTCCCTTCCTAACCACCCACCCATCCGACCCCTGAGTCCCGGCTGAAAGGCCTCTCTCGTCTAACCCCTCCACCAGTCGTCTGGGCTGCCTCCGTCTTTCTTCTCGTCTTGACGCTGTATCGTCTAATCACGGCGATTCTCCGCTTAGAGGCTCAGTCCTCGGAGGGGACCGTGAGCCGGCGTTGTCCCCCGCCTTACTTCTCGCTCACCCTTTCTCCGCCTAGCTGCCGGTGCTAATAAAGTTGTTGTTCCAAACGCAGTCCGGAAGGACGCGGGGCGGAGACCAATCAGAGCGTAGTTTTGCCTTGGCCAGGGCGCAAAGGCGAGCCGTCATCAGTAAGCGTCGACTGCGGTTGGAAACCAGGTTTCTAGAAACGGAGGTGCGGGGAAAGAGTTGGTGAGTGTGCTGCGGCCGTGGCCGGGGCGGGAGGCTGGTTTCCGGTGTCGGGGGGTTGGACCGGAGCAAGGACAGAGGCGGTCTTTACTAGATTGACCACACCAAGGTCTCCGGTGCTCCCACAACGTTAGCACAAGGGGTGGAGGGGGGAGGTTATGGCAAGAGCCAAAATGTCTCTTGTCTTCTTACAACGCTTCACTTGGGGAGACTGGTGATCGAGTAATAACTTAATCCCAAGTGTGGGAGACGCCATAGGCTGCCCCCAGGACGTGCGGCGGGCCGTGTCACCAAGAGTGAGATGCGTGGGTCAGGGAACTGGACTATAAGATGAGAACTGGAGGCTGAGCCCATAAAAAGTGAGGGGGAAAAGGTTGGTAAGCGAAGGAAATGTGGCGAGGACTCGCGGGCAAGGGGGATGGTGGCGGAGGTAGGCTGGAATCAAACGACGTTCATGTACCTACTCCGTGCTCAGGGCACTGGGGCTTGTGAACAATGAATGAAACCGCCCCTGTCGTCAAGGAAACGAGCTCCGTGGGGAAGACGGGCATTAAACAAAATGAAGAAATTTACAGAATGCCAAGTGTTGAGGCAAACTAAGGAGCTCATAGATGTCTAATAGCGGGATGGGATCTGGGGGAGCGGTCACAGAAGACCGACCTACGTCGTAAGACATCATATTTATGCTCCTACCAGAGGGACGAAAAAATGATATAGTGAGAGACCGGGAAAAAAGAAACCATAATGTGGTGGGTATACGGATTAAATATAATTGTTTATTCATTTACCAAATACTTCTTGAATGCCTACTCAGTGCTAGATGGTGGGGATACAGCAGTGAGCAGACAGGCGTGGTCCCTAGGTTGGCTTACGGTTCTCCCTGGGGAGAGGAGCAGAGAAAAGAGGTTTGAAGAGACACCTGAGTGTTGTATCGGGGGAGGGGGCTGTATTCTATACACAAAGGAAGATTTCCTCTAGCCGAAAGCGAGTGAGGGGAGTTGTGGAGAAAGACAGGTGTGAGGTTATAAACAGGCGTTCAAGAGGAAAGGGTGTGCCGTATAAAGAGAAGCAAGTGTAAAGGGAACGTGGTGCATCATAGAGAGAAGGGTAAGAGAGACCGATCTCATAGACACACCTGGACATCCCCAGGGTCTTCAACTGGCAGCTCAAGGGCCACTTCTGTCCTGTTTTCGCCTGTTTGGTAGGGCCTGTGCCGTGGCGGTGGCTGTTTTTTATTTTTACTTTTACCTAAATTGTCTGTTTAAATAATAAGAAAGAGATGTTTCAGACTGGGAGGTTCCACATACAAATTTAGTTTCTTGCTTCTCTTGAAAAAAATTAGAAGACCTGGCAACATGCAGCCTGTGTTCCCACTGGTGTGACATCGGCTGTGCCTGTACATCAGGCATGAGTTCTCTTGTTCTCCAGGCCCCACTCCTCCCTATTGCCCAGCCCCCAGGCTGCCCCACTCACTGGCCACCCACTTAGCCTCTGAGCATTGGAGTTTGCAGTTTCTGTTTCCATACATTAGAGGAGGATGGGGCAGGCGTGAGGAAAGGGGGATGGGTTTATGGAGAGAGGAAAGGGACAGGAAGAGGGAAAGACTGCTTTAAAAACGAAACAAGAACAGCCCTAGCCAAGTGGCTCAGTTGGTTGGAGCATCATCCTGTGCTGCACCCAAAGACCGCGAGTTCAATCTCTGGTCAGGGCCTGTTCCCAGGTTGTGGGTTTGATCCCTGGTCGGGGCATGTAAAAGAGACAACTGATCGGCGTTTCTCTTTCACGTGTCTTTCTCTCTCTTCCCTTCCTCTCTCTCTCACATCAATAAAACATGCTGTCGGGGGAGGGAAAAGAAAAAGCAGTGGGGAGGACAGAGTGGTGGGGATTGTACCTTGTAGAACAATTAAGTGTTTCCCAACCCTTTCCTCTTTATGGGACTCAAAGGAAAGACTAATATTTTTACAGCATCTGGGGCTGTTGAAGAGGCTGCCTGTTGCCAGAGGTGACCATCCTGGGCATTCTAGACATAGGAGGCCTGTCTGGTTGCCCCTAAGGCTGAGCAGATCAGTGTGTTAGGAAATCTGCCACCCAGTTGGGGCCCAACAATTCGTGGGAAGGGGAGGAGAGCTCTGCTATAGAAAAAAAAAATGAGAGATTGCATCTTATCATGGGAAGGAAGTATCTTTTAAGCCTTAGCAAGGTGGTGGCGTACGAGCTGTGCTGTGTCTTGTCAGTGAGGTGAGTGAGAGGGTAGGTGGTGTGCGTTGTGGCTGGAGATGACCTGGGTTCCAGAAGGCTTGTCCATGGATTCATTTAGTAGGTGTTTATTGAGCACTCCCTACATGCCAGGCACAGTTAGAGGCTGGAGGGCAACACAAATGAAGACGCCTGTCCTTGTGGAGCCTGTGTGCTAGTGGGATTGAGCAGGATAGACCGAGGCCCCTGGGGGTGGGGGGGAAGCCCCTCACGGTAATGAGGGGGAACCCTGCTCTCCCCCCGACAGGCCTCGGGATGTCTCTGGCAGACGAGCTCCTGGCCGACCTCGAGGAGGCGGCGGAAGAAGAGGAAGGAGGAAGCTATGGGGAAGAAGAAGAGGAGCCAGCGATCGAGGATGTGCAGGAGGAGACACAGCTGGATCTTTCCGGGGATTCGGTCAAGAGCATCGCCAAGCTGTGGGACAGCAAGATGGTGAGCAGGCAGCAAATGGAAGCTCCGGAGCGGTGAGGTGCTTGGTGGCTTTTCCCAAACTGCCCTGGATTCTGACTCTCCTCTCCTCCCCAGTTTGCTGAGATCATGATGAAGATTGAGGAGTATATCAGCAAGCAAGCCAAGGCTTCGGAAGGTACCTCCCCCCGGCTCAACCTCACCCGCCCGCCTGGTCTCCCACCAGGCCCCTGGGCCCCTTTTGCTGCTTGTGGTTTTGGAAGTGGGGTCTGTCTCCCTGTCGGCCTTTTCCAGAGCCGCCACCTTCTCTTCCATCCCAACCCAGTCCCCTTCTCTCCTGAAAAGATGCTGCATTTTAAAGCCAGCATTTCTAAAGTTCTTGCTCCGTGCTGAGCACTCGGTAGTTGCCTAGGGCGGCTGTCAGGGTTTCTCCCTGGGTCACGTGACCGGTCACAGGGGTTTTGCCACGTGTCCTGTTTACTTCACCTCCTGTTTTTTATTTGCTTTTATTTTTTTTAACATCCAATGTAATTTTAAGAAGTTCTTTTCAGTGATAGGTAACATAAGATTATATTAGCTGCAGGTGTATAGCATAACGATTAGACATTTATATAACTTATGAAGTGATTCCTCCCGATACTTCCAGCACCCACCTGGCACCTCATATTTATTGCAGTTTTATCGACTGTACTTCCTGTGCTGTACTTTGTATTCCTGTGACCGTTCAGTAACTACCAACTCGTACACCTTAATCGCCTTTTTAATACAGCCATTCAACCCCTATTTCCCATCTCCTTTAAATCAATGTACTTTTCTTATTAAATTTACATTAGAAGGAGAATTATGCTACTGTGAGTAGAAAACTGGTCTAATTTGGTAAATGGGACGTAACCTTAAACGTATACGATGACCGAAGCGTCATTTAAAACCTCTTCACCCGACTTTGAGGAATGCTGGCCCGTCCAGATCAGCTCTCCAAGGGTGACCCTGTTCCACCCAGTTCTTCCCGTCAGGATGGGGCTCTCTGGAATTCAGTGGCAGCGGGAAGCCCTAGATAGAGGCTGTGGGGCACAGGGTGGAGTCGTCAGAGCAGAGTTTCAGGGAGATTCATGTTTTCTTCTCTGTAAAGTCTTCCTTTGGCACTTCAGGGCCAGGCCTGTGGGTGCTGGGCACCCAGAGGAGTCAGCCGAGGTCAGACAGGCCAGGCCCCAGGCAGCTACTGGTGGGCAGTGCTTGCTGGGACTGGGGACACTCTGGAGCCACAGGAGGGCCAGCTGACCCTGCCTGGCCCTCCTGTGGTCAGGGAAGGACCGACACCCGGATTGGACACTAAAGCATGAATGCACACACCAGGCCAATAGCCGGGGGGGCGTGTGTCCAGGGAAAGAGAGCTGCGTGTGCAGAACCTCGGGCATGGGGCGGCTCACCAGCCTGTTTTTCATCCTCACAGTGATGGGACCAGTGGAGGCGGCTCCTGAATACAGGGTCATCGTGGACGCCAACAACCTGACCGTGGAGATTGAGAACGAGCTGAGTGAGTGTGGGAGGGACAGACAGGACCCCGGGCTGGCCTTTCCCAGGGTCCCGCCTCCGAGCTCCTCCGGTTAGCTTGAATCCAGGTTCTGCTGCCGAGACAGGGGCTTAAATAAGCAAGAAGTGTATTTTCCTTTCTCGTGTAAGTCCAAGCCGTTACAGCATCGGGTGCCCATCCTCTTTTTGTCTCATTGATCTGCTGTGGTACAGAGTGACTGCCTACTTCCACCCATCACCTCCACATCCCCACCAGCAAAACGGGGGAGGGAAGAGGGCACAGCTCCCTTTAAGGGATGACCTGGGAGTTGCACGTGTCATTTGGAGAACAGAACACGTTTTGGCTTGCCCGGCGTGAGGGAGCCAGAAACGTGTTCTTTATCCTGGTGTCCTTGCACCCAGGTAAAGCTCAGGGGTTCAGTTACTGAAGGAAGAAGGGGAAGCGGGTGTCGGGGGACAGCCAGCACAGCCTGCCTGTCTCCTCATCAGATGCGTCCTGTCTCTGCCCACCTCAGACATCATCCATAAGTTCATCCGGGACAAGTACTCAAAGCGGTTCCCCGAACTGGAGTCGCTGGTGCCCAACGCCCTGGATTATATCCGCACGGTCAAGGTAAGTGGGAGGGGTGGGGGCTG